CTGTTTCAAAATGATAGTTTTATGTCATAAGCATTATATTAGTTAAAATTTAAGTTGTTGTTTTTTTTAAACTATTAGTAGATGTCGATAGTACTGACAGTAACATTAACCCAGAGCGACGAATCTTACAAATCTTAATAAGATTTCTTATTAAGAACCTTAGTAAGATTAATTAGGCTTGAAAGATGTGTAAGAAAACTAATAAGATCTTTTTAAGATTTGTAAGTTTACGTACAATTTCTTAGTAAGATTTGTAAGTAATGTAAGATCTTAATAAGATATATAAATAATATCATAATTTCTGAGTAAGATTTTCAAGTTATAATATGAATTCTTGGTATAATTTGCAAGATCTTACAAAATTATTTTGTAATTATTACGACCGGAATTTAGTAATAATGTAATTATTATTAAATTCCACTCGTATTTTTGCGTAGAGGCAGAATATTCTATTGCGAAAATATGAACGGAATTTAGTGGGTTGAAATACCAAGGAAGAGAAACAAGGAAGAAAACAAGGAAGAGATCTTTTGGTTAAATGGTCATTTAAGATCATATTGAATAGTCTTGCATAAGTAATTTGTTGTGTTATATATTATATGTACTACATATAATGTTGAGATGCGCACTATTATTTTATTAGTTAAAAAATTTTATCGAGAAGAAATTATATGAAGTACTTAATTGTTTTATTTATTAGCATATGCTAATAACTAAAACAATTTAGTGCTTTAATTATCTTGTTCTCGAAAAATATTTATAACTAAAAATATAACAGTGCTAATCTTAACAGATTATGTAATACATATAATATATATAATACAACAACTTACTTATGCAAGACTATTCCATACTGCAACACTAATTGAAAATTATAAAAAAAATAAAGTATTACAGATTAAATAGAATAATACTCATAAAAATTTGATAGACTAAATTTTTTCCTGTTGTTTACAAATTAAACAAAAATACAAATACAAGTCACCTTAGATTAGATTGATGCTCAGCGAGTAATAAAACTATACTATATAAAATGGGGCACAGTTTAATTGTTTAAATATTTCCATTTTAGATCAAGTTCTATCTGATATATATCGTTTACAGCTGTGTAAACAAAGTATTTCAAAATGGCTTCCTTAATTTTTCTACGACTATGCAAAATTGTTTGGGGTATCTTTTTTTAGCGTTTTCACCAGTATAATTAATTTTTTGAATGACTTCGGAAAACTTTTAATTTTCTGCACCGAGATATTTTATGCAAAATTAATATTGTTTCATGACAGTTCATAACCAACAATGATGTATAGATTAACACCTTCCTGAAACTATGGTTTAAGAAAGAAAAATTATTATATTTATTTTTATTCAACTGTTATAAATAACGACTCAAGACTAAGACTAATACTTAAGAGAAACTTATGCATTGTTAAAGACTGTACAGGAAAAACTAGTTTTACAAATTTGCGCACCGAGTGGAAATGATTTGTGTTTTTGCATCATTTTCATCAAGCGCTGATGTTTAACTATTACTTCAGTCATATATATAAAAAAAATAGAAGACTCAACTGAGGTGTTTGAATATAATTAACAATACAGAAATCAACTAATAGTCATATATAACATATATATGACTAAATTATCAAAAACAAAATGAAATTTTTATAAAAATTGAAAACATGAACAAATGTGGGTTTTGTAGGGTCTGTAGTATTCAAATAAATATAATATTTATTAACTTACAACTATCTCTATACTTCTCCAAGTGTTCCAAGATATAAAAGATGTTGTTTTTCTGAAGCAAACACATTAAGTACAATTCCTTCTACATAATCTTTATACATAATCTGAAAATCAAATATTGCATTTTTTTTTATGGGAAATAATTATTTTAAATTGATTGTGATAGCCCAGTTGTTAGGGTATGAGAAATCTACTTTTTTTTTATAAAAATAAAATTCAATATAATAAATAAATCATAATCTTAAAATATTATTATTATAAAAGCATATATTACATTTTATTCTAAAATATTAAAAACAACCATTTTAAATCTTACACTTTTTTTCCAACTTGTCTTTATATTATTTTGCCACAATTAACATACTTGTATTTTTGTTTTCGCAATAAGTACAATGTTTTAGCTCTGCGTTCATTGTGTTCGTCATATTCTGAAAACATTTCTAATTTAACTGAAAATTGTATTATTTAAGAGCAAGTAGATTGCATAAGGAAAGATTTGGGTTTTTAAAAAAACTTTACAGTTTCAATATCATTAAATCACCAGAAATTGTTTAGATGCAAAACATAAGGAAGTATTATCTTATCTTACTTCACATTCTATAATAAACAGTTTCAGGAGAACTGTTGGTGTTGTTCAATTTATGCCTCTAAATTAATAATGCAGCTGCTTGTCACCATTTGCTTCTACATATATATGACTAAATATATGATATTATTACATGAGTTTAAAATTATAGGTTAATATTTTTAATATATTTGATAATATTTAAAAATTCTCAATATTAACTCTATAATAATTTCAATATTTAAAAAATAAAATGTAATACAAAAAATATTTTTTGAAGGTTCTTTTAAACTACATTCATATAACTTTAAAATTTGTAACATTTCCTTTTTGTTGATCAAAAAGATATTTTTGAAGATATTTTTGCATACTACAAAAACGCATATATTAAAATATATATCATTTTCTTATATACTTCGTCAATTAAAATTTTTTTAATTTACAAATTTTTTAACTAAATTAAGTATATATATATATATATATATATATATATATATATATATATATATATATATATATATATATATATATATATATATATATATATATATACAGCGCCGTGCTGTAACTTTTGGGGGCCCTGTGCAGAAACTAAAATAAAAAATTTTTTTCTTTTAATTCGTAGTAATTTATGGTATTGGAGAAGTTTTTCTAATGTATTTAATAGGGCGCCCAGTGCGATTGCACTTGTTGCACTTGCGATAGTACGGCGCTGTATATATATATATATATATATATATATATATATATATATATATATATATATATATATATATATATATATATATATATATATATATATATATATATATATATATATATATATAATATATATATATATATATATATATATATATATATATATATATATATATATATATATATATATATATATATATATATATATATATATATATATATACATATTTCTCATTTTCTTAACAAGATCTTAATAAGATCTTAAAAAGATTTTATCAAGTTATTCAAAGAAATATTTTTGACAAATCTTATTAAGGTTTTATTAAAAAAAGTTCTTACTTCTGTAAAATAAGAAAGATCTTATCTTACCGATATTATTTCCAAGATTCGTCGCTCTGGGTAAATAAAATATTTCTTTCAATCCAGAAAATACATTGCATATATATATAATCAAATAAAAAACTTGGTAAAAACTAAAAATAAGATAAAAAAACATTGAAGTAATTAATGTATAGTAGTAATATGCATTACTGCTATACATTTGTATAATAGATATTATAACAAAATGCTTATTTAAAATGTAATTAAAATAACAAAAAAAAAAAAAAGTTCAGAATAATCTGAAAAATAGATAAATTAGTTTTATTTGTTTATTAGCCTTTTTTAACTACTTTATGTTGAAAATATTAATTGTAATAATATCAACATAAAATAGTTAAAAAGTAGTTAGGGAAAAATAATTAATTGCATAATCAAAAAATGAGTTTAAGTTTAATCGAGTTCCAATTTAGAACAGAAAATTTTAAAAATATAGATGTGCTTTATATTTGAAGTTTTTTTTTTTTTTTTGCTTGATAGTAATGAAGGGCTCATATATACATTCGTTTTACCAGTTATATACATAAGTACAGTTTTTTCTCAAGTTCATTTAAATTTTGAGTTTTTGAAATTGAAAATGGAGTTAATTTTAAGCTGGATTCTTCAGAAGCAAGAATTTTTAATTTTCTTAGCTTTTTATGTTATATTTTTTACACAAGATATAATTTGCAGTGTATGTACTAATCACTTTTAAAAAACTCAAAAAAAAAGGAAAAACATATTATACTGACTCTTTTCTTCTTGCAAGACTTTAATATAATAAACGTCATAAAGGCGTATAAACATAAGCAGAGCTTCCTAAAATATTTAATCATTTTATTTTATTTTATTCCGATTTTTAAGAAACTCTAAAAACAAGCTAAAACATAGCAGCATTTGCGCAGTGGTTAGAGTTCTGGCTTAGAACAAAAAGGTTTGAAGTTTGATCTCAGCTCCAGTCAGATAAGCAACAAGAGAGCATTTAATTAAGAAGTGTGAACTTTCTAATTAAATGCTCTTCCGCAGTGCTCTGTAATAAGAACGTTAGGTCTTCTTTAGGCACCTTAATAACTAATAATAATAATATAAAATGAGGCTTTATGGTGTGGGTGGAAATCGAATAACAGATCTTTTGATTTCAAAATTAATTGTTAAAATACTACCTAAACTTAACTATAGCAACACAGCTTACATGAAAGTCGGCAAAAACTTAGCCACTTAACTCGATTTGGTAACAAATTGGATGTGTTTGTAGACAAGTTTAGTACATAAAAGCCTAACAGACAATAAAAAAAAAGGTTTCTTATTAAAAGTTTGTTAAATTCTGCAAAGCTTTTTTGCAAGCAATTTTGAAACCTTATTTCAAAATTCTAGTTTTAGTTAGGCTTCTATTTTTTAAATTTCATTTGATATTTTTTTACTTTTTTTACTCAATTTTTTAAGCATAGTACAGTAATTTTTTATTTATTGTTTATTTTATTCTTTTATTGGGTCAGGAAGCAAGTTATCTACCCCCTATTATCTGCTGCTTTATTTGAGACATATTAGGTTATTATAGTTATGAATGATAAAAGGTAAAAGTCTGTTTTTTACAATAAATGTTTCATTTTTAGACATTAGTTTTATTCATTTGAAACAGGAATGGATATACGCATAGGTTCAGTATTAGGTCATCATAATTTAAGCGGAGAACTGTATGCAATACATAGAAACCAAAAGTTGTATCTGGTGTTTCATAGTACACTTAAATCTTGGTTAGCTGTAACTAATGACGAGTTTAAAATGAATATTAGGAATAAAATAGACTGGAAACGGTTAAAGATTTTAGAAAAAGATGTTGACCAAGTTGTAACTTTTGGACCAAACCAGTGGATGGGTAAAAAATTTAAAATTGATTCTTTTAATTTATAGTTTAATAAAAGTCTTTTATATATTGTATACATTTTTTATTTTTTATAATTTTGTTGAATGGAATTTATTATTTTATATTGCATTTTATAGGAAATGGAGAAGGTCTATTTTTCAGAAATTCTTCAGATATGGAATGGACTAAAAGAGCTGAATGGAATTAAAAATGGAAATAAAGAAATTGTTAAAAAATATATTTGTACTGTATTTACCTGCCTAATATTTTTTAATATTTTTCTTTTTTTAATTAATTTATTTTTGTCTTGACTATTTTAACGGTAACTTAGTTGTTATTATTATAGTTAATACGAGCTTTTTACCATTGCGATATATTATATATTATTTTTACCATTACGATATTTAAACAAAGGAGTCCTATGAAAAGATTGTGATAACGTAATTTTACCCTTATCTTCTTTTAGTCCCTCTCTGCTTTAACTTTATTTAGTTGTATTTCGGTATATACTTTTATATTTTATTTTATCTAAATGCATACAAGCATTGTAAAGATAATACTTATACTATGTTAAACAGTAAAAAATAATAATGTGTATTGTTGTATGTGCTTCTGGAGATATGTATATGTTTGTGTATATGTATGTGTTGAATGCCAATAATTTTGACTTCGATTTGCTTCCATATTACTACGTCATGTATGAAAAATTTTAGCACGACATTTGTATAAAAATTTTAGCACATTTATTTAAAAATTTTACCACGAGATTTGTATAAAAATTTTAGCAAGTCATTTGTATAAAAATTTTAGCATGACATTTGTATAAAGATTAATCAATTCCGGTTAGACAACAAAATATTTTAAAAACTGTAATGTTTAAATTTATTTTTAATTTATTATTTTAACTTTTTTAATCTTATGTACATTTGTTAATAATTCACAAAATTAATTTAAGTTCGGCAAATCCTCGTTATCTCCGCAAAGAATCAATTGAATAATGTGTATATGACCCGTTGACGCTGCTATTGAGATTCGGGTTGTTAAAGTTGAAAGTTTATTTGGAATTCTACCAACAATGTTTGAACCATAAATTGCTGCCAGCGGGCACGGGACATAAAAATAACGTCTTTTGAACGTCTTTTGAACGTCTTTTAAACGTTCAAAATACGTCTTTTTTGCCCCGTGCCCACTGGGTCAGGGTCTTAATTTATTACCTAACAATGATATATTATATAACTAGATGTCAAACTTCGGCGTTAGATTTGTATCGGCATTAGATTTATAAACAAATATTTTTAACTTTTCTTTTCTTAAATGAATATTTTAAATTTAAATACTATTTACGTAAAAGTGTTAAGCGGAAATTATAATACTTGTAAAATAATAATTTATGATTCCTTAATTTATTTTCGATTAAAAAGGGATTAAAGTTTTGAATAGAAAAGTAAAAGTAAACGACAGACGCTTTTAAAGCATTTTTATGAATTAAAATACTTTTTAATAAACATAAAACTTATATAAGTACTCTTTAATTATTAAAAATTGTTTTTGAATTATCTTAAATTTATCGGGAACTTTTGGCTTGCATTTTTAACTTTTATTCCGCACTTCGGCTTAAGCTTTTGCTTTTTTTAAAAATGGCGGACTTTTGTTATAAACAAAAAAGAGCGGCTTTATTTTTTGTCCAATAAAATCCCGCAAGTTAGACATCTAGTTATACAATATATCATTGCCTCCTAATATAAAAAATATAAGTCCATGTTTACTTCGTGAACATATTTGGTAGAGAAGAACATTAATTTAGTATAATAATTTTAATATAATAATTCAATATAAATTTGATAATTTTTATATAATAGGCTTTTATAGCAACGAATTTGAATAGAATAATGTTATTAGGAAATAGTGCCCAAAAGAGTTTCAAAAAATGTACAAGACGTTTTGAAAATCGGTATTTTCTGCTATTACCGAGTTTAATGATAGAGTTATTGGAATAGAGTTTTTGTTGAGCTTGTTATACTATATAACAATTTTTTAATAAATAATGCTTTGAAAATGGAAAATCAAAGAATAACAATAATGAATAAAATGTGCTCTAAAGTGAAGACTAAGTTTAGAAAGAAAATGAGAGCCACTAGGAAAAGATTCGTGAATGTAGAAAATATACTAGCTTATAAAGCTGAGACTGTGAATTTTTAATTTGTTATTCAATTTTAGCCTATTTTCTATATAATTTATTTCTGATTTTTTTCATTTTAAGCATCTTTTAAGTTAATAGTTCAAACGATTTGAAAATTTTAGGGTATAATTGTTTGATTTGGATATAATTATTTGATTTGGATATATTTGTTGGGTTTAGATATAACTGTTTGGTTTGGATATAATTCCCACACACCCTCAATTGCGGAGGGGCCCATTTGGAAATTTAGGGGCCCTTTTGCTAATTGAAGGGTTTTTGTTTTGTTTTATTTTTTAGTAATACCTAGTGGAAATTTTTTTTAGATATAACTAAACAGGTAAAAAAGGAGCGAGAATGAGGTAAGTTTGTTATAATATTGTACGTTAAGCTTAACGTTTGTGACTAGACTCATTGTAACCATTTACGTATTTTTTTGTTGTTGTTGAAAAATCCTAACGGTCTTTTCATAGAGCTCCACAGATAAACATTTAACCGGGAAGTTTACGCCTCCTTTCTTACCGTGACGCGAAAACATGTCCAGAACTCGTTTAGAACCTGGATCTTCTGCTTATAAAGCAAGCGCTCTAACCACTGCGCCACAACCGCACAAAAAATGACCTGACCGGGGTTCGAACACTGATCTTCATTGCCACAGTCCACAGCATTCACCGCTCAATTAAGCGAACACATTTTTAATTTCTTTTGTTTAAATTCTCATTTCAAATTGGAAACTATTTTATTAGTTTAATTTTATACTAAAAATATAACTTACAATGATAGTGACATAAATGTAGTTAAACTTCTCTTAACAAAAAATAATGTGCTTTTAGAAAATCACTCTGATTCAGATATTAACAAGGATGGGAAAGAAATGGAAAATATAAGCTCTTATTACTACAATTTAATTGAGCAACTGTGGGGCAGTGGTAGCGCTCTTTCCTCAGAAACGTAAGATCCGTGGTTCAAACCCAACCTCTGGGCGAAATCGGTTGGGAAGGAGGCGTGAACTTCCTATTAAATGCTCTTCCGTGGTGCTCTGTGATAAGACCCTAAGGACTTCTTGGGGCACCTAAAAATATATATATTTTTTTATAATTCAAACCTTTCAACTCTTACAACAATTATAGATGCACCATCCACCCGACACCTTAATATTTGAAGCTTGCAAAAAAATTGGCTAAACTTTAAGAATTTTTATCTAGCGTCAAACTATGTTTTTACATTTTTTTTTTTTTTTTTTAAAGGTTATTTAGGTGCCCCAAGAAGACCTAACGGTCTTGTCAAAGAGCACCGTGGAAGTGCATTTAACCAGGAAGTTCACGCCTCCTTCCTTACCGTGACGCGAAAATATGTCCGGAGCTCGTTTCGAACCTGAATCTCCTGCTTATAAAGTAAGCGCTCTTACCACTGCACCACGGCATTATTTGAAAATAATTAAAAATAATTAATAAAAGTGTTCATAACGGTTTTATAAATAAAGAATAAATTAAACTTTCAAACTGTCAACTAGTCTGGAACCACCAACATAATAACCTACCTTTAACTTTCATCAATTTCTTTTGCAAAAGTACTAACACTCGTTATCATCTTCGTTCCAATAGTAATTTAAACCTATCTGTCTCTAAATACCGCTCTCATAATTACGGACATGAATCTATAAAATATCAAAGCATTAAAACTTGGGACAACCTTCCTTATGAACTAAAAGCATTAAAACTTGGGACAACCTTCCTTATGAACTAAAAGCATTAAAACTTGGGACAACCTTCCTTATGAACTAAAAGCATTAAAACTTGGGACAACCTTCCTTATGAACTAAAAGCATTAAAACTTGGGACAACCTTCCTTATGAACTAAAAGCATTAAAACTTGGAACAACCTTCCTAATGAACTAAAAGCATTAAAACTTGGGACAACCTTCCTTATGAACTAAAAGCATTAAAACTTGGGACAACCTTCCTTATGAACTAAAAGCATGAAAACTTGGGACAACCTTCCTTATGAACTAAAAGCATTAAAACTTGGAACAACCTTCCTTATGAACTAAAAGCATTAAAACTTGGGAAAACTTTCCTTATGAACTAAAAGCTCTCATTTCCAATCTTTAAAACAAGTTTTTTTTTTTTTTTAAATACAGTCAATATTTGTAATTTCTATAATCAATTTTTTTGTCTTAAGTATTCTTTATTTTTACTGTCATTAATGAAACACGTTTGATATTTCTAATTTCTATAATAATTTTTGTTGTTATTATTAATGTTATTTTTATAAATGTTTACATTATTATTATTAACTACTTTTGACTATTATTACATATATTAATATTGTTATTATTATTAATATAGTATCTATTACTGTTATCATTAGTGTATTGTTGTTATAACAATAATATACTGTCATTATTGCCGTTGTTATTTTATTATTGCTATATTTTTTAACACAAGTTTTTATAATTACTATTATTATTGATATCTATATTATGTTTATTGTTGTTATTATCACTATTTTTATTATTGTTGAATTTTACAGGTGTTTACTTAATATTAGTACTCATTACTATTTGTCAATATTGTTGTAAGAACTTTTATTCAGAAATATATTTGATTTGATTTTATTTGATTTGTTAGCGGTGATATAATAATCAAATCAATCTTTTATTTAAAAATATTTCTATTGCATAAATTTGTTCTTTCTTTAGAACAAGGAATCTTTTTTGTTAAACTTAAAGTTGCAAGAGTGTCCTAAAATCCGGTGACGTAATCTCTGTCTTAAATTAGAGACCTATCTTCAAACTACTGTGCTATGCTTTTTAGAATATATTATACATAAAAAGCTGTACCATTTTTTATATATAAACAACATCCTATATAATAAACAGCTTGGATTTAAAAATGGTCACTCTTTTGATCAGATTATTGTTTATCTTGTTAATGATATTCTTAACTCATTTAATAAAAATAAATATACTTTAGATGCTTTTATTGATCTCAGCAATAGGCTTTCAACGTAGTTTTTATAGTTATTACATATATTAACCAAGCAAGAAAACTACGGTATCAAATATACAAATTTTAAATGGTTTAAGAGCTACTTGTCAAATAGACTGCAATATATTTCATATAACTCTGGGAAAACCAACAACATAAATATAACTTGAAGGGTTCCACAAAGGTCAACACTAAGACCGCTTATTATATCATTAATATTCTTATTATAAACTTATTAAATACAATCTTGTTTGCTGATGATACAAATCTATTCTATGCTCATAATGATACACAAACACTATTCAAATCAGTAAAATTAGAACTACAAAATCTTGCTGAATGATTTAGAGCAAACAAATTGTTACTAAATTTAATTAAAACATAGTATGCTTTTTTCTATTATTATTATGAGTCAAAATTCCTCTAAAACTTCCAAAACTTTGTATTTAGGATCGCGAAATAAAAAGAGATGTTTCACTAAAGTTTCTTATTGTTCTTATCGACAAAAATGTAACATGAAAGATGATATAAAATATCTGCATGGTAAAATCTCAAAGAGCATTGGCCTGATTTTTGTTAATCCACTTTTCTTAAAACTCTTATATTTCTTATTTATTTATTGTCGCCTTAACTATAATAAAAATGCTTGGTGCAGTACCAAAAAAAATAAATTGAAAACAAAGTCTTTATGCAAAAATACGCAGTCAGAATTATATCTAATATCAGCCGTTTTATACATTCCCAATCACTATTTTCTAAGTTAATATTTACTAAATAAATATTTATTTTATTTAATTTTTATGTTTAAAACTAATGTTATGTAAAATAAATTAGAACAAATACTTAGCTAGATATTTAAATAACACCTATATACAGATCAAAAGTTTTTTTACGGCAACTGAACTTTTAATCTCTATTAGGGGAATACCAATATAAAACTTTACCAATCCTAAGAGAAAGTCAAAATCGAGACAGAGATAACTAATAAATGATATGCTGCGAAGCTCTTTCTAACATATCAATGTAGAATTTTTTTTATAAAAAAAGTTTATGTTAATAATTACTTTTTTACAATATTCATGTTTTTAACTAATTTATTATTTATTTATTTTTTATCGCCTAAAATTAGCATTTATAAATAAATTCATGATTTCTTATACCATAAATGAAAAATTTTTCAATTTTTATTTTAACCTCACATTCTAAACTCTCTATTTTTGATTTTTTCATTTATTTTAGTTAATATAGTAAACATTGTTTATTTTAGAATTTTTGTAAAAAAATCTAGGAAATTTGCGAAGCTGTTTATGCAATTACGTAGCAATGATAGCCTGAAAAAATTAAGTTTATAAAGCAAACTTTTCTTGCTTTATATTTTGTCTTTTCAATAATAAAAGTAAGAACGAGGCAAAAAAATATTTTTTTTATTTATTGTATATATATATATTTTTTTGCAAATTGTTTTAAATTTTGTCAGCTCTTAGTTAAGAAAAATTATTAAATTGAATATTTCGTCTACTGTCTGTATTTTAAAGTTCATTTACATCAAAAGTTTTTTTTATGTCAAAATAACTTTTTAATTTATAAAAATTTCAGTATTTCCAAAAGTATTCCAATTAAATTTCCAAAAGTATTCTAATTAAATTTCCAAAAGTATTTCAATTAACTTTCTAAAAGTATTTAAATTTCAGTATTTCCAAAAGTATTCCAATTAAAAAATGTTAAAACTAGTCATCAAAAACTACACCGAAAGTAAACTTTCCCTTTAACTCCTTAGAATTGATGTCCGTCAAATAAGAAATTTACCTAGTACTTTCCCAGATACTACTTTCTATTACTAGATAATGCTTTCGTATTGTATATTAATTCCATTCAAATATATATTTAATTATAAAAATAAAATCTCCAAAGATAAATATTACGTTATGGGAAAAATTATTAAATAACTGCTTATAGAGTAAAAACCATGCATAATAGGCTGACTTTAGGCAACAATGACACTTTAGAGTTAGAGTAGTCGTTGAAGGAATGGAAACTTTTATTTGGAGATTAAATTCTTGGCACCACTCACAAAAAAAATTATGGCTTTACTATTTAGATCTACTTTTAAACCAGATCTCTTAAATCTTGTAGCGACTTTCGATTATCTGATATTGGTTCTCATAAAGTGGCTCCATGGTTAAAAAGCACTAAAAAATATTTTAATGTTGCCTTGTTTGAAATTTATTTTAGATTCAGAAAAAATATCTTTATATACATTCAAACTCAATGATTATGACTATTATCCATTTTTTTGAGGTACAGACTGTACCTTAAAAATGGATATTTCTATAGCAACGGCGGTTTCCTGTCTATTTAGTCTATTTAATTTTAGTAATTGCTTTTGCAACGTAAAAACTTAATGTCATTCATATTCCAAAAAACTTCGATTATTATTGATTTACGTTTATATTTGATTAAATTCTTCGTGAAAACGAAGAATTTAATCAAATAATATGAAAAAGGTGTCCTAAAGATGTATTTCTTCTTTGCAAAGAAGTTTTAGATATCGATGTAGCTTTAGCTGTTATTCGTTTTGGATTCTTGAGATTTTGAATCTTAAGTTTCGGATATCTTGGTGATTATGATTTGTGTAAAATAGACAGCCACCGTTAACGTTATTTAAAAAGAAAATTTTCTTAAACATTTAAAAAGGACAGAAAAATGCTAAGAGGTGTCAAAAAGAGATATATTAATAAAGAAAAGGATGTTGAAGGCGGAAAATCTTACTCTTCAGGAAAATATTTTTGTTATTTAAATGTTTTTTATAGAAATGTTATTTTCGATATTACACTAAATTAAAAATAGGTTTTCTTAAAAAATGCAAAAGCAATCAACTTGAAATTTTCAGGGAGTGCTCCTAAAAAAATTACTTGAGGGACTGTTGCAGAATTACACTAAACTAATGATATTAAGTTTGAAATAATTTTTTGAAATAAAAAAATTATAACTTTGCTTCAATTGCTTTTATCCGCCATTTTATATATACCAATTTTTATATAAAAATCCCTTTGCGCGGACATCATAAAGATATTCCTGAAATTATATTTTAGTTATATATTATATTTATAAAATTCATAATATTTATAGTATAGAGTTATATTTTAGAAGTTAAAAAGTGTTTATACCTCAAGCAGTTGTTGAGTGTGTTTATATGTCACGCAATTTTTGTTGACTCAGCAAAAAGTATAATAAATCAGTAAGATTATTTTCTGGAGTGTATTTGTTGATAAAAATGACTATTCTTTTCATTTAAAGTTATTAAGAAATATTTATCTTCAAAATGTAGAAGTCATTTTTGTAATCATAGAGCCACCTTAAGTAAACCATTTCAAAAATAAAGACGCTTTAATTTCAAAAAAAACTAAAAACCTTGCTGTAAAACATAACAGCAATTTTTTAAAATAATTGATTTCAGATTTTAATAAGCATGAAGGAGTAAGTATTGATTTAAGTGAGATAATTAAAATCATTTTTTTCACCAATTCAAAACCTTCAAACACGAATCAGTCATTTAACACTAAATGTTAAAAATTTTTAATATATTTTATTAAGAGCTATAATAAAAGTTTAAAATTATAAGCATAGCGTTTAAAAACTATAAGCATAGTATTTCAAATTATCTTGAAAGCGTAAGCTTTATCTTTAAAAAAACAATAATTGGTAAAGTAAACGAGTGCAGTATGCAACCTGAAACGGTAATTGAACTGAAACAATAATTGCACAAAACCGTAATTATTTTCATGTTGAAAAAGTTTTTTTCAAAAATAAAAAAAATAAAAACAAGGATCTGTATTTTAGATGTGCCTGACGCTAATACATTAAAGCATACAAACTGTTCAATTCGGAAAAAGGAGTAGATCATTTTCTTCGTGATATCTCAATATATATATGAAGATACCACGAACTTGGTAAGAATTAAATAAACCACTCAACGGTATCTTTTATTCTTTTTTTATTCTGTTTTCATATTTAGTTTCATCTCTAGGCTTGGCGCCCCCAAAAATATTTAATTGCTGTACTTTATCTGCTACTTCAAGAACTGGTTCTTTAGTGGAGCGAGGAAGAAGATTCAATTTCGGCCGCCGCGAAAGTTCCTCTATCGAATAAATTTAGTTTTATAGTAAAATCATTTTAAAATTCTTAAAAGTGAAATATTTGAAAGTTTAATTACTTACCGGGGTTTGGTTCTTTAAATTCCTCTAGGTGTGGCTGTCTTCTTTCTTGTCGGTGACTACCCCCACCACCTCCACGATTCCACCTATCACCTCCTCCTCTATCGGAATGTCCGCGATTACTTCTGAATCCTTGAGTTAAATAACTTTTGAATAATTAATAATGATTTGTTTAACTTAATGCACTAAATTTCGATTTTAGTTTATTATGTTAAAAAATGCAAAACGTTAAAGTTTCATAAATTATTAAAACACTATTATTCAATTCATAAAATAGTCATATAATTTAAACTTACCGTCATCGTGAGATCCACCTCCTCTACCACCTATAAACATAAGCTTTTAGAATGACAAGAAATATTCGTTCTGGTTTAGAGTTTAAAAAACTTTTTAATTACCTTCATGACCACCCCTTCCTCTACCTCGACCGCGTCCACCACCTTCTTTTTTATCTCTAGCGGGTGCAACATTTACACGAAGATTTCTATCAGCAAACTCTGCACCATCAAATTCAATTGCACTTAATAAAGATTTCTGGTCTTCAAATTCAACGTAGCAAAATCCTAATAATTGAAGAAGAGTTGATGTGACTTTTTAATGTATCATTTTTATTAATTTGTAAAATTAAAAAAAATAACAAATTTTTCTAAAGGAAAACTGAAATCCGTTTAAATCAGTACCATAAAATATATTTTAAAACAGCATAAAAAGTATTTTAAGAATATGCATGCCTCAAAACAACTAGAAAAAATTAAGGATAGATAAATTAGCGGCCTTTTTCTTAATTATTTAACCTATTTTGTAAAAAGAAATAATCAAGAATTATTGTAGAATAATTGTATTTGTAATTGTAGAAAATAAAAGTCAAAAAATAACTTTGATAAAGTATGCAAATATTTCATGCAACTTTACATGATACTTTTTATATGCATCTTTTTATGAATTAGATACTAATATAAATAGAAAATAAATATTAAATGTAATTAGAAGCCTACATATTACTATTAGAAAAACGGACTGGCACTTAAACCTGTTGTTGTTGCTTTTGATTTTACTTAAACTTACTTTTAATCAATTATTAAGCACTCCATAAAGACAATTGATTATACCAAAATAGTTTGAAATTTTAAAACATTGCAAAGAGATAATTAAAATAGTATTGGACTAAGGAAAACATTAGTCAAAAAGTACAAATCCACCAAGATGAAACCATTTATCCTCAGAGATGAAAACATGTGTTCTTTTAAACTGAAATCAAAATATTCCTTAGCCAGAGCAAAAAGTTTTCAGATTCCGCAAAAAAAACTCTAGTTAAGTACTGTTTAATCATTAGTCTAGTGCAACATAAAACACAAGAAAGATATACAGACATATCGCTAACTATGCATCTGACACTTTATTGAGTTATAGAAAACTAAAAGAGCTTAAAGGTTCAGGTTTTCAGATTTTTGATTATTTAGAAGGCCCCAATTAATTGTTTAACCATATTAGTTAGTATGTTCACGATGAGACTATTAATTCGTTTTATAGAGTCATTTAATCATGGGTATCCAGAGGCATAAAAAACACATGTAGAGGAGATGGGGGCGCATTGATCGCCGGGTTAGTATGATCTTTTAGCTTTTATTTGTTTGTTTTTTCGCCAGAGATTGCAATTTAATTAACCATTATACTACTCTTTATTGTTTAAGCGTAATATTTTTGATAAGATCAACTTCTGCGTTAAGAAAATAGAAAATAAAGTTTACTACTTTCAAAAAATCACTTTTTATCATGAAAAGTGATTTTTTGAAAGTAGTAAACAAATTCAAATTTCTGTATGACTTAACAACCATTTTATTTTAAATTCATATGTGTTAAGTGTATAATAAATTTATTTTTTTGAGTTGGTTACAATATTTACTGAAGTTATTGGCATCAATATATCAACTGTACTTATCGGGACACATTGATCCTTGACTATGCAAGGCTCATTGATCGGAAGATCAATGTGCCCTATTATAACTTATATCTTTTGTTAAAATTTTATACATTTAAACAAATGGCATGTACTTATGACAAAAAAAAAATTTTTTATATAAATTTTAACATTTCATTTTTAAAATGTAAGTGTTAAAAACTAATATTAATAATATTAGTTTTTAGTTTTACATAAGTTTACAATTAGTTTCCACAATATTAGTAATACTTTTTTTAAACAAATATTTTATTTTAAACTTTTTTTAATTTTCAGATCTTTAAATGGTTAGGTATAGAAAAAAAAAAAACTGACAGAGTTGCTATATCATGTGATACAATGAAAGCAGTTGTTAGTAAAGTTTTAGCGGGCAGACCAGTGAATGTTGTAGCTCGCAAGTTTAGCATAAATCGAATGATTTTAAAAAGATATTGTCATAAAAAGAAGCTCAATCCAAAAAAATCTTTTAAGCCTAATTACAACAATAAACAAGTTTTTACTACAGAGGATGAAAAAAGTTTATCAAGTTATTTATTACTTGCATCAAAAATAAATTACGGACTTTCAAACAAGTCAACACAATTATTGGCATATGAGTTTGGTGTAAAAAATAATAAGATTTGCCCAATATCATGGATCAAAAATAAAATTGCAGGGATTGATTGGTTGCAAAGTTTTATGAAAAGACTACAAAAAATGTCTTTACGAATACCTGAAGCAATTAGCTTTGCTTAATCAACTGCCTTTAACTAACACACTGTAGGAGAATTTTTTCAAAATTTAAAAACAGTAAGAAAGCGATATAAAACATGATCCTTATTGCATTTATAATGATGATGAAACTGGTTTAACATGTTTGTACAAAAGCCAGTAAAAGTGTGAGCAGGTAAAGGATATAAACAAATAGGAAGAATCACACCTGCAGAATGTGGAACATTAGTAACTGTATGTTGTGCTTCAAATGCAATCACAAACTCTATTCCTCCACTATTTATTTTTTCTAGGTTCAAATTTCATGATTACATGATAAAGGAAGGTCCTCCTGGATGCGTGGGATTTGCAAATCCTTCTGGTTGGATGAATTCAGACATTTATAGAATGGATAAAACATTTTGTGAGGTATTTAAACTGTTCTCGTGAATCTTCAGTTTTATTACTTCTGGACAGCCATAAAAGTCATATTTCTGTTAGAGCTTTAGATATTGAAATTTAACATGGAATTACAATGCTAAGTTTTCCTCCCCTTTGCACCCATAAATTACAACCATTGGATAGAACTGTTTTCAGACCTTTGAAAAGATTTTACATTGCTGCGTGTGACAATTGGATGGTCACAAATCCAAGACCTATGACCATTTATGATATTGTTTCAATAATTTGCAAACCATATACAAAAGCATTCTCTTCATCTAATATAAAGAGGATTTTTATTTAATGAGGACTTCATCTAATATACAGAGGACAGAAGTAGCTGGAATTGAACCTTTTACCAGAACCTGAGGACTATCTAAAGAGGACTTCATCTAATATACAGAGGACAGAAGTAACTGGCATTGAACCTTTTAATCCCAAAATTTTTGAAGATGATGAATATTTACCATCATCAGTTACAGATTGTTATGCTGCAAATGCAGTAAACACGATTTTTGTGGAACCTGAAATGACTGTAGCACATGTTGATGGCATGGAGCATGAAATACCTGTAGTACATAATGAAACAAATTTTTCGAACAAAGTGTCACCAAGCATTGCTTCATTACTCTCACGTGAAGTTTTGAAACCTCACCCAAAAGCATCTGCTAGAAAAAGAAGTGTTAAAAGTAGGCAACTAAAAACAAGGATCTTAACTGATACTCCAATCAGGAATGAACTTTTGTCAGAAGAAAAGAATACCCTAAAACAAATTAACCAACAAAAGAAATTCATCACAAAAGATAAAAAAAAGGGGCAAGTTACTTGCTTAGGAACAAAAACAATGTAAAGTAAAAGCACCTTCACAACTTGACTTTGACAAATGATCATAATATAAAAAGACAATCTTGTAAACTTTAGTCTTAATATAAGTCTTGTATGAATCTTATATATTCTTTGTAAACTTAAAATACTATATTCTTATAGACTTTATAAGCTTTAAGTTTTGTAAAACTTTACACATATATATGTTAGAAGTAACGAGCTTAAATTCATACATACAATTGTGGTCATTCTTCTAATGAAAATTTATTCTGACGAAAACTCAATACACTGGTGTGTATTAGGTTGTAATGATATATATTTTTTATATAATTTTACTTTTTTTGAGATGTATTATATAATATACACTTATCCCCTTCAACTAAGCCATTTGTAAGTCTTAGGTATACCAGTATTAAATATGTACATAATGTTACTCATATAAAATCAAAGCGCCCTAAGTGTCGGAGATCATAGTTCCTTGTTGCATGAGGTTTATCGATCTTTTGCAAGAGTTGTTGTAATGTTGAAATATATCATGTTCATCAGGCTTGGTCGGGAAGCGGGTGCGATTGCACTCGATAATTGACCACGGAAATATTATTTAGTTGCAAAAAACAGGCCAGATTTTTTAGTCGTTTTGAGAACATTTCAAAAACAAACAAAAAAGCGCAATAAGATTAACTGGACTGATGAGAGACAGTTAAAAAAAAAAAAAAGCTTTTAACGCGAAAAAACTTTAAGCAAAATAAATGTATTAGAGCAATTATTTTTGAAACGTCGCTCTTTTATAAATTTTTTAATAAAATTAGGCGACATTTTTTATATAAAGTAACAACTATAAAGAAATAAATGTTCTTCGATTTATCAAAGAGAATATATAATTTTTATTTATATACTTATGTCTTATTTCCAGTGCTGGATTGAAGAGGTGGGGTGGAGGTAGTAGGGCTACAGCCCCGGGACTCACAATGTTAAGGGAAATAGTCAAGAGGACCATTCGGTATTTTTTTTAGTCATTTTTACGCTGTGGCACATAAAAAAGGCCACAAAATAATGCAGCCTCCGGCCCTGAAAAATCCAACAAGATTCAACCGAATGATTTATTTATAAAAAAGTTTTTTTAATAACTGTAATATGCTTCGCATATTTTAAAAAGTTTAACATATTTGAAATAATTCTTCTTAGTAAGATGAACAAAAAATTAATTCATTGTGTTACTGTAGAAATTCAATTAGCTAGATAAAAATTTAACAAAACATTAAATTACTTTGTGAGGAGGAAGCGGAACTGCTTCACAATACTGCTGATGATGTTTTAATAAATGGGCTTTGTAATTTTAATTAGTATTTAAAACAGAAAAAAGTAACTCTAAGTATAACGAGTTTGTAAGAATGGCTGAAGCAAAAATAACTGAAGTTAGTAAACCAATTTCCAAAAACTTAAAAAAATTTTTCTTGGGAGAAAGAATCAGTTATCTGGTACACTGAGGAAAATGGATTAGTGGTTAAATTATTTGTATTAACTTTGATGATTATTAATAACTTCATTAAAAACGCAGTTATTATTGAAAGTATTTTTGTTTACAAAATCAATCGCACATATTTTTTTTTTTTTTTTTTTTAAACATCTTCACTTCCAACAAGGCTGCAAGCAACCACTATAGGAGTTGGAAGTTACTGGAAGAGAAAAGACTAAATCTGTAGAGCAAGATAACGATTGACTGATGACTTAAAAGATTGCAAATTATATGAATCAGGAAAGCAAGATGAAGGAAGCAAATTCCAAAGAACTGATGTTCGAGGAAAAAAACTAGAAGAATAAGAGTTTTTGAAGCACTTAGGAACAGTCACAGAAAAAGGATGAGACTTAATTGAATGGCGAGTAACACGAGAATGAATTTTAGTAGATGGCACAAGGGACGCTAGCTCTTTAGAGCAGTGCCCATTATAGTATTTGTAGAAAAGAGAAAGAGAAGCAACATTACGACGATGTGACAAAGGTTGGAGATTGGTTGCCAGAGCAGGTCCAACTATGTTTACAATTCGTTTTTGCACCTTGTCTAAAAGAGAAAGAGCATCATTAGAAGATCCGCCCCAGATGTGGCAACAGTATTCCATACAGGGACGGATTTGAGATTTATAGAGATAGAGAATAGAATCTGGAGTAAGAAAGTGTCGAGCTCGATAAAGAGATGCAACCTTAGCAGATGCTAATTTTGCAATGGATTTGATATACGGTTTAAAAGAAAGATCAGAAGTAAGAGTTAATCCTAGAAGATGAATGGTAGATGACTCATCTAGTACATTACCATTCATAAATATAGGAAGATCTAAATTATTACGATAACGGTTGGGCCGAATAAAATTGAGTTTTATCTGAATTAAAGTTCACCAGCCACTGTGAGCCCCAAGCTGTAGCAGAAGTGAGATCCTTTTCAAGCTCAGATACCCCCTCCAAGCAATCAGAGAGTGTAGGCTTCTTATCATGACAAGAGTAAATGGTAGTGTCGTCAGCGAATAATGCCACCTTAGATGTGAGAATATCTGGAAGATCGTTAATGTAAATTAAAAAGAGTATAGGGCCAAGGATTGAACCTTGAGGAACCCCTGAAGTTACAGGATGTGAAGAAGAGTGTTGTCCATCGAGGGCAACTTTTATACTACGATTGGAAAGAAAGGACTCAATAATCTTAAAGACGTTACCAGCTACACCATAAGAAGAAAGCTTATGGAGAAGACCAGCATGCCAAACTTTATCAAAAGCTTTAGAAATGTCAAGTGCGATAGCCTTAACCTCTCCACCTCTATCTAATGCACGGTAAAACCTATCGGTTATTACTGTTAGCACATCAGCTGTAGAACGAGAAGACCGAAATCCATATTGATGATCAGAAAGTAAGTTATTTGATTCAAGATGAGAGATTAAGTGTTTGTTGATTAAAGATTCAAAAACCTTGCTTATGACAGGAAGAAGACTAATGGGACGGTAGTTAGATGAATCAGATCGCTCTCCGGAATTTTTGAAAATAGGGATAACAGATGCTGCTTTCCAGCATGATGGAAAACAAGACTCTGATAAGCACTTGTTAAATAGTTTAGAAAGTATGGATGAAAGCTCCGGAGAACACCTCTGCAAGACTACAACAGGAATGTTGTCAGGACCACAAGCTGTTGAAGAGTCTAAGCAGGAAATTACTTTTGATACAGAAGCTGAAGTGATGCGAATGTCAAGCAAGGGATCGACCTGTTTGACGGCTATGTCAGGTAAAACGCAACTAGTGGAATCAAGAGATGATATTGATGAAAAGTTCTTAGCAAACAATTCAGCTTTGTCTTTAGGTGAGGTGACAAAGTCTGAACCATACAAGAGAGAAGGAATAACAGATTTGCCCTTATTATTGATACTGTTAAAGATTCTCCAGAAGTCTCGAGAGCCTAATTTTTGTGATGAGATACGAGATTTAATGACCTGGGAATAGCGAGCTTTGGCGTCAGACAAAACCTTTTTACAATGGTTTCTGGCGATAGTGAACAGATGTCTGTTTTCTGGAGAATTGTTTTGCTGATAGATATGAAAGTAACGGTTTCGATTAGAAATTGCTGCAGCGCAATGTGAGGAAAACCAAGGAGAAGAGTGAGGCTTGACCTGGAATCGTCGAGAGGGAATAAAAGATTCCATGCCAGCCTGAATCCACGAAGTTATGTAAGAAGCACATTTGTCAGCAGGAAGACGAAAGATTTCTACCCAAGGGCCATCACGAAGAAAATCACGGAAAGAGTCCCAGTCAGCTTTAAGGTAGTTGTATGTGGTACGATGATAGGGGGATTCTGATGAAGTAGAAGAATTTGATAATAGTTTTAGAGAGATCAAACCGTGATCAGAAGTACCTAAGGGTGAATGTGGAGAAATTGAGCACTGACTAGGATCCAAAACAAGACATAAGTCGAGTAGAGAAGGTAAATGATTAGGGTTGTCTGGAAAACGAGTTGGAAAGTTGACTATTTGAGTTAGAGATTGAGAAAGGCAAAAGTTGAGGGCCTTAACGCCAGCAGAGTCACTGACACTAGAGCCAAGCCAATCGGTGTGATAGGCGTTAAAGTCACCAACAACGACGATATTGGCCGATGGATAAAGAGAGAGGGCTTGGTCAATTTGATCAGAAATAACATCAAGAATAGTGCAATCTTGGGATGAAGGAGAGCGATATAGAACAAAGAGAAAGGCGATAGAGTGAAGTTGTGCTAAACAAAAGCACATAAATGAATAGTCTGTAGATTCAAACCTAGTTTCACGACAAATGGGTGAGTTCTTACGAATGTAGATGCCCAGGCCAAGCATGTGATTATTGGAGTCTTTACGAATTAAAGGAAGATAACCATCAACACTAAGATCACAAGATGGGACAGCCGAACTCAAATTAGTCTCACAAAGAGCAAGTAGGTCTGGTGAACTTTGCAAGAGATAAGACTCAACAGAAGAAAAGTTACTTCGAAGACCACGAATATTAGTAAATGATAGGTTTAGAGAACTTGGTGATGACGATGGTTTTTTGTGTTTTTTAGTTTTAGGTACTTTAGTCATTTTAAATTTATAAAGAACTTGACTCAAGTATAAATAGTACTCAGTACACTATTTAACAACTAAGCAATAGCCTCATTACTATTAATAAACCCTAAGCCGTAACAAAGGGCTCCAATTGCTTTAAAAGATTACATTTGAATAAAATACACATACATAAAACTACATACATAAAAAATACATACATAAAAATACATTACATACATAAAAATACATCCCTTATATATAAAAAATTAGAATATACTAATAAAATCTATAATATATTTACAAAACGTTGACATGTTAAAAAATATACATTTAAAACATTTATTATTGTAAACAAATAATGTTAGTTTAAAACATTTATAGCTTTGTAGATGTGGCTCCAAGAATTAAAATAATAGTTCGTTTGATAGTATATTCTTAAAATAATTTATGCTAGAAATCTCAACAAAAACATAACAAAACTCAAATAATACAATTTTTTAAAATATTTCAACAGAATAATCAGGACATTCGGTTAGTATTTTTTGAATACTCTAGAAATTTCTGTTAGTATTTTTTGAACCAATAGAATTAGTTGTTTGTAGATTTAGCGGGTTCGCGATTATTCTTTTTTTTATTTTTCCGTACTAAGATGTTTGAGAACATTCAAGTTTATGTATGTTTCTATGTAAGTCCGTAAAACAAAATATTTTAAAATTTACGATAAAATGAACTTATTATTTTGTGGACAAACAAGGAAACATACAAAAACTTTAATGTTCTCAAAACGACTAAAAAATCTGGCCGGTTTTTCGCAGCTAAATATTATTTTCGTGGTCAGTTAACGAGTGCGATCGCACCCGCTTCCCGAACAAGCCAAATATTTACTTTTACTTAAAGACAGATTGTTCTAGTTTAATAAATAATAAGTTTTTATATCTATACTCTAATCAGGAATAACCTTTTGTCAGAAGAAAAAGAAAACCCTAAAACAAATCAACCAACAAAAAGAAATTCATCACAAAAGATAAAAGTTACTTGTTTAGGAACAAAAACAATGTAAAGTTCACATTTTACAAAATACTGCTACAGCAATCAATGCATCTTAATTTCCCCTACTTAGTGTAACTAATCTGCTCAACCAGAATCATTCATTCTGGTTTATTTTACACTACCATTATAAATCAAGACAGTTGTAAGGGATTTTTTACTATAATCTATGAAGATATGTTGGTTTAGCATAAATATTTACTAAATAATCTTATTATTGCTATTATCAAAAATAATAATAATATCCAAATGAAGAAATAACCAGATAAAGACAAAATTAATACTAAATGCTAAAAAGTCTGTTTTTATTCGAATTTTAATAAAAACAGAAAATCAGTTTTTATTGAAACCCCTTTCCAAACCATAAACATTACCTTTAAACTTGTCGGTCTCTCTATCTCTAACTAAACGAACACTTTTTACCTAAAAAAATAATTTTATAAAATTAATAATTTTGATAAAAGTTTGAACATTAAGTAAATTTTGAATAAAACAAAAAACTAGTAAAGCTAGCAAATAATAAAAGAGTATGAAAACACAAAATATCTACAATGCTGAAATGTAAGCATGGGAATTCGTTAAAAAAAAATAATTTTTATTGAAAATTTTTGAATTACAATAAATTATGAAAAATGTTATATTACAAAAATATATATTGTAAAAAAAAAAAATTTTTTTGTCAATTAAAATACTTGGTGTTATATAATTTTTTTGTGTTTAAAAAATTACAAATACATTATAATTATTCTTCACATTTAACCTTAAAGTTTTAGAAATGAAATAATTACTAATTCTTTGAAAAATTATAGAAAAATTTATTGAGGACTTGTTGGATATCATTTTTTTGCTGGAAAACAACATAACTTTTTATCATTTAAATAAAATTGTTGACTGGGTTCCAATTTTTAATTAACTTGTGCTTTGATAAGTAAAACATCAAATCAATGTTAAAACATTTTTTAGATGACAGCAAAAAAAACTAATTATTTAGATTTACTTAAAAAAAGAGAAAATTCAAAAGATTACTAAACATTTCTATTTTTTAATGTTTATTAAATGTTATTAAATTATAAATTAAGCACTCAAACGTATTTAGTCAAATTTCAAATTTAAATAGTGTTGATTTGACTAAATTATTAAAATAAGTTTTTAAAAATTTGAGCAAGACACGTTTAAAAATAAAAAGTAAAAACAATAAAAAATGTTAATAACTTCATAACTAATCATAAATAAGGTTTTCAAACATACCATCAAAATAATTTAGTTTTTAAAAAAATATGTTTATCTGATTTTGTACTGATTTTGAACCACAATCTGGGCATAACTTTGAGAAGATGTGAATAAAAAATTTAGTTCAAGGCAATAGGATTAAATCTCTCTAAAAGATCCATTACTTCTGTTAGCTGTTCTAGATTTCTGTATAGGTCTTTGTCTGAGTGAAACTATAAATAGTTTCTTAGATCATTGTTTTTTACTTAACTTTTTGTTAATTTGTGACCATGGTATATTTACAATAATATCAAGTTTAGCATTATAACACAATTCTTGAAATTTTTAACAATTCTTATTTTACAATTACAAAAACTATACAAAGTATTATATTGATATGAAAATTCAACTGTAACATCCTATCTTTTTACATAGTACATAGGAGTGCATAGATCATATATGATAAAATCAAAAAAAAAGCTATAACTGTATGATCCTGTTGTAAATATTCCCTTTTTCTCACCATAATCAAAACACATCTAATTATAGAGTGTTCATTTATTTTCGTAAAGACCATATTTCTTGCGTTACATATTGGTTTACCAAGAGGATTTATTTTTTCCAATCAAAGTCTAATTTATGACACTGATACATAAGTTTGAAAATTAGGTAGACTAAGTGTAGCATTATTCTATTTATCCACAAGTCTTTACATATAAGTTTTCTAATTAGCTACTACTGTCTGCAATAAATGAGAAAAATATAAGCAGCTTGTTGCTGATTAGAACTCAAATATATCTAAAAGCAAAATGTCCACTCGTCTAAAAAGTCCAATTTTCAGCCATTTTAAGATGCTTATAAAAACACTTTGTTTTGATCTAAGATTAACAGCATATAAGACCATTAGACCCAACTATCTGAAAATGGAAACATTCTAAACTTGTCAAACCCACACAAAAAATGTCAGCATTTTTAAATAACCTTTTTTTTTCAATTATCAACTGTTGAATGTGTTACTAGAAACCAGTATCCCTCTAATCTACTAACTGGCCTATGTGAAGGGTGCAACTAATTATAAGTCATTTCTTAATAAAAAGAAAGATATGTTTGGTTGTTCTCCCCTTGGTCTTTATAGCAGAGGTTATAAAAGACTTCTAATTAGGTTTGTTTTTCTGCTAAATACATTTCATTGATAGCTTAGTGGTTAAGTGCGCTGTCATCAGTTTTGTTTTGGGGGTTTTAAGACCTCAGCGTAACAAATTTTGAAAATTTTCAATCTTGCTTATATATTTATAGCAAAATAATAATAATATAGCAAAAAAGATTTCTAAAGTTTTCTCATTTTTTATATTTAAATACGTGATTATTCTATATAATGCCTGCAAACTTAACATATGCTTAAGATGTTTACACTTACAGGTGTTTGTACGCAATGCTATACAAATGGATAAGATCTTAGACCACTAAAATATAGTCATAAAAAAAAAATTCATTCTTATAATTATGATTAAAAACTAAAGAATATTATTAAACGCTAATCTAAAAGTTCAGCAAAAGATTTTTTTGCACATTGACGTCAGTTTGTGGCAAAATAAACCTTTATGCGTTAAGTTTCCTTTTGCATTCATCTTACATTTTTAAATTTAATTAAATTATGTTGCATACAAACGCATAAAAAATATATAATACTGGTACAGATATATCGTTTCACAGATAAGAGATTGTATTTATCACAATAGTAATAAATGAATAGTTTTTGCCTTTATTAGAATATATCCCATGAAAATATATTCCGTATATCTTTAATAGAAGAATTTTTTTTTTTTTAATTTAAATAAAATCTTATTTTTAGTTTGTTTTTCTAGTTTTTTTGCCACAAAATGACATCACATACGCTAAAAAATTGTGGCTTTAAAGGGATCCCAAACTCCCGACACATGTTGTGTTCATATTCAAGATAATGTTAAAAAAAAAGGTTTGAACCAAGTTTTTTTGATTAAAAATAAATAATGAATGCATACCGAGAAAAAATAATGTTGTTGTTTTAGCGGAAGCTCGCCTTCTCCATTTTTTTCAATAACTCGGAGTCTTTAAATTATAGGTCGCAATCTACAGACTTTGACGATTCCTTTGAAGCATGTTTAATTCATAAAAGTTTTAATAAACTTTTAACGAATAAAACTCTGGAAAAAATTTTATTTATTTTTATTCAAACTTTTTTTGATTATATGTTAAGTTTTTTTTTTTCCTATTTTTAACATTTAAAAAGATATTAAAAACCTCAAATATTTTATGCTGGTTCGTTGCTGTAAATTGTTATTGCGCCATGTATTTAATGTTTATAAAATTATGAATATTTATTATCTCAATCAAGACTCTGATAAATAATTGTTCAACATTAATTACCCTTATAAAATTAGTAAAAGCATATTTATTTGGTTAGATAATATTTCTTCTCAATTTGCTTTGCATGAAGTTTGGGAAGTCAAGCGAAAAAAATTAGTTTGAATAATCACTTTGAAATATATTCAAAACAAATTATTTTAATGACGGGGGTTTAAAAGTTTTTATAACAAACGTAGGTAAAAAATAAATAATTGAATAAAAAGTTCAACATTAAACATCATTTTTATTATTATACAGCAACTGTAAATATTATTAACTTGAACTAAATTTACTTACTATTTAGAACGATTAAACAATAAAAATAAAAAACCCCTAAAATTATGCGATATTGTGTTGTTTATTTGATAATTGCTGTTGGTAATGTTGTTTATATTGATTATTTTCATTAATATCAAAATAGTCCCAGATTAATCTGTTAGTTGCTTTGTTCATTGTTGCTTTATTTCTAATTTTATCTCTAAGTATAAATTTATGTTAAGAAAGAAAAGTTTTTATTTCATCACTTGCTCTCTTTATAAACAACAAAAGAGAAAGAAAAGTTTCGCGTAATTAAACTTCGAATTAATGAGAGTTGTATAGAATATATATATATATTTTTTTTTTGCGTCACTCGTTCTTTTTTGAGATGAGAGGAATAAAAGTTTAATAGTAACTTTTCTTTGAATAAATGAAAATTGGAAGAGAAAATTGCTTGAAAATTTGTATTTGTTGTGTTTTAAAATTTTTTTAATTTTTCATGTTAAAAGACAAATGCCAAATACGATACAAATTGGGAAATACCAAATATAACATGTTTTTTAACGCGCTTAATGACATTTTGACAATTTAAATTACCATCTATCTTGAATTATTGCCATTAACTAATGTGTTAATTATTGCGTTATATTATAATAGTTTGTCCGTATTTTTGTTAAATATTAGTTGTATAAAACGGGCGAAAATATACAAACTTCATGTTTTTTATTTGATGGTTATAAAATATTGAACAGTAAACTTATAATCAAAATTTATAACGCCTATTTGTGTTGCTATTAATTGTACTTTTAATGCAAAACCAGGATCTCACATATCCTTTCACGAATTTTCATATCTGATACTACTGTCAACTGTATTGTTTAGTGTCTTCTTGTACTTTTTGTTCATAACCTTAACAGGTTCTAATTGCTATGGAGTTGCCGACATTTTAAAAGTTTCATTATCAAAAATCAAATGTAAAATAAAAAGATATTTCCTTTTTATCGGTATGCAACTTAGGAAATTTAGCAATTTAAAATAAATCAGCGTAATCAAAAAATTTTTATAATAAAAAAAAGTTAACAATTCATCAAATATCTCTAATTAATACTGTCAGTTTATCAAGTTAATTGTTAACTCTTTTTTTCGACGGGAAAACAAAAAATATCATAGCGTAAAAATAACCAGAAGTTAAAAAAAAGTTCCCATTGTTTAATTAAAAATAAGTAAGATTCATAATATATAATACTGCACTCTCTTGCACAAAAACGAGAGACCGTATACATAACGTTCTATATAATGTAAAACACTCATATGAAAATCATAAGATTCGTAAGTAAAGCTTTAATATTTATTTTAATTTAAAAAGAAATATAAGTAAGATATATAAATCTAAAAATTATTAAGATATTGGTAAAAAAAAGTTCCTCTTATGAAATAAAAAGCTTTTATTATTTTTGATTTTTACAAAAATTTGTTGTAAAAGTTGTTTTGCTGTATGTTAAATTTTTTTTTTCTTAATTAAAATAGAAAAACGCAGCTTTGTTTAATTACACTTTCTTTTTGTTAAAAATCTACCGTGACGTCAAATTCTAAAACTTCTATGAATTAAACGCGCTTCAAAGGAATCGCAAAAATCTGTAGATTGCGAGGTATAATCTAAAGACTCCGAGTTATTGAAAAAAATGGAGAAGGCGAGCTTCGGCTAAAACAACAACATTAGTTTTTCTTGGTATGCATTCATTATCTACTTTTAATCAAAAAAACTTGGTTCAAACCTTTTTTTTTAACATTATCTTTAATATGAACACAACATGTGTTGGGAGTTTGGGATCCCTTTAACAATTCACAAAAAAGCCTCGTCTATCATTTTTAATGGTCTAAGAAGCAGATGACATAATTTTAGCAATCAGAAAATGTCAAGAGAGGGGCAAATCTAAAATTGAAGTTTCAAAGTTCGTATTTGGATAAGACAATATGTTTCGTGTTTTTTCCATCTTATCAATTTTTTTAATATAATAAAACATAAAAAAAATCAAAACAAAACAGCTTGAGCAAAAAAAGACTTGTAATTATTAGAAAAGTTTACTTTATTACATAAGATCCTGAATGAAACTTTATATAAGTGGATTTTTTACATTTTATAAACAATATACATAAACAAATAACATATTTGTTTATTTAGGGATGGTTAGGACCAAACCTGTATATACAACAAAGTTTTAAAAAAAAAGTTTTATATTAAAAATTAATTTATACAATGTTTCCTTGGAAACACCATTATACTATACTTAAAATTTTTAAATACACTGAACTGTTATTACTTTTAATTTTTTTGGTTTAGTGGCTTTTGTTAAGAGCTTTTAAATTTTGCGTCAAATTAACTTATTTCAACATATTTGTTGTATCATCCATACTGCAGCTGGTTTTCAAAACGCTTTGAGGTAAAAGAAACCGTTGTTCAACGTTCAACGACTGCTTTTCTCAATAAAAGAAAGCAATCGAAATGTTTGAGCATGGTTCCTTTTAATATTTTTGCAAAAGCATTCATTTTAAATAAAACTATGTATGCTTTTGTGAGCTCATGCAAAAACCATGCTAAAACATAATTACTTTTTTCTATACCGTATTTAGTTATTTTACTTAAAAGTGACGCTATTGAAAAAAGTACCTTTTGGCATTAATTTAAGTCTGAAATTAATTGTTTTTTATATTAAACATGTGTCTTTTATAATAAATAAAAAAACTAATGATCGCAAAGTTATTTGAAAAAAATTGCTGAAGTAATACGTTCGTTTTGAAAAATGCTAATCAAACGGCAACGCTTGCATAGGCAAAATTAAAGAAACGTGATGTTTGTTTTCCCGTCTGTCTTTAAAGAAATGCGCGCAAATTTGTCGATTTGTCGCACCCTGTATCCTATTATTTTTTTAATAAAATTTTAAACTTGCACCACAAAATTTTTTTAAATTTCATGGCACTTTTAAACAGCCTAAGTTACTTAGGTTTTTAAACCTCAATTTCTAAAAAAATAAATAAAAAATCTGAGGAGAGGGGGAGGGACCCTTTCCCTCACAATGGATTCGCCCTTGTATTAGCCTAATTATTTATGGGAAGGAATGATAAAGATTATTAGAGCTATAATAATAATTTTTTTTTTTTTACTTTCGTTTACAATTAAGTTTACATTAATTAATAAATGTTTTGATTTTTTTCCTTTATTTATTTTATTATTCTTTAAATATATTATTTGTTTAGGTTAATTTTTGTATTATATATTATTTTAAGGATTTTATTCTCTTTTCAGTTTATGGATTGTTTATTTTAATTTTAACTTGCTTTGCTTTTATTAGCACATTTTTTAAACGCGCTAATTATCAAAACTTGCAAAGAGCTGTGGTCAAGTTGTTAAAACAAAGAACTTTATGTGTGGTCATATAAGGCGTGTGGCCATATAAGGTGTGCATGCCTCTTACGAGAAGGCCTGTAAGACCGCAAAAAAAAAAAATATCAAAATAATATTCTTTCAATTTTCAATCCCGAAGGTTTAACAAGATATTTCAAGAAAATGATTTTTTTAATGAAAATAAATGTTATAGATCAAAATTAAGCAGATTTTCAAGTTAAAGTCAAACTGTAAAACTTGATAACTGTTCAGTTGTGTTCATATTAAAGATAATGTTAAAAAAAAAAGGTTTGAACCAAGTTTTTTGATTAAAAATAAATAATAAATGCATACCGAGAAAAACTAATGTTGTTGTTTTAGCCGAAGCTCGCCTTCTCCATTTTTTTCAATAACTCGGAGTCTTTAAATTATACGTCGCAATCTACAGACTTTGGCGATTCCTTTGAAGCGCGTTTAATTCATAAAAGTTTTAGAATTTGACAACACGATAGATTTTAAACAAATGAAACTCTGGAAATATTTTTATTTATTTTTATTCAAACTTTTTTTGATTATTTGTTAAGTTTTTCTTTTTTTTCTATTTTTAACATTTAAAAAGATATTAAAAACCTCAAATATTTTATGCTGGTTCGTTGCTATAAATTGTTATTGCGCCATATACTTAATGTTTATAAATTAGGAATATTTATTATCTCAATCTGATAAAAAATTGTTTACTCTGATAAAAAACCGTTTTACATTAATCACCCTAAAAAATAAAACTAGTAACAGTATTTTTATTTGGTTAGACAATATTTCGTCTCAATTTGCTTTGCAAATTGAGACGAAATATTGTCTAACCAAATAAAAATACTGTTAATTATATCATAAAAACATTTTATATCATAAAAACATTTAATGTTTTTATGATATTAATTATATCATAAATTACATACATTAATGAAGATAAACGACTCTAAGTTATTTATTACAAATGTAATTTAAATAATCTTATCGTTATTGTTTATTATTTATTTTAGTTAAGTTTTAATTTTATTTTTTTGATTTTAGTTTTATTTAAATAATTTTATCTTATTTTTTTCTATTTTTTTAAGAGAATTTACTTGCTTTTTTGAGGATAATTTTAATTTCTTTGCATTTAAGTTAAGATAATTTTTCGGCACATTTTTAAAATGTATAAAAATTTTTTAAAACAACTTATAGCTTTTTTCAAATTTTCAAAATTAAATAGTATTTGCGTGGTCATATCATAAGCATGAAATCGCACGCCTTAATGGCCAAGCCAGAAAGGCATGAGATTCTGAAAGTACATTACTAGAATCTGAATTTAGCTTTAACAGGATTATCATCTGTTTAGTGGTGATGCTTACATCATGAACAGGGTACAAAAAAGACAAATAAAAATTTTTCTTTTTTAATTATTAAAAAAATAATATATAATTTTTTATTAATTTACGAAACTAGCAGTTGCAAAAAAAGTTTTCAGTTTATAATATACTATCTATTTATAATTTTAGGTTCAGTGATATAAATGCCAAATGAGAGAACTTAAATATGTATGAATATGAATAAGATATATATATATATATATATATATATATATATATATATATATATATATATATATATATATATATATATATATATATATATATATATATATATATATATATATAAATGAGAGAACTTATATATGTATGAATATGAATAAGATATATATATATATATATATATATATATATATATATATATATATATATATATATATATATATATATATATATATATATATATATATATATATAAATGCAAAATCACTTACTTTTAAATCATTGAATATAGCATCAATATCTCCCTGCACACACTGATAAGGAAGGTTTCCTACATATGCAACGAATGGAGGTTCATTTGGTACATCATGTCTACCTGATGTATCTCCACCTCCACCTCCACCTCTTCTGTCGTTATATCGATTTCCAGCTCCTCTTCGATCATCATAACCTCCATGAAACCTCCCTGATCCTCCATAACTATCATATTCTCCACCTCTATAATTATAAAAAAAAAAAAAGGTTTTTTAAGGTTTAGAAAAATCGTTATTTCTAAATATAACTTGAAGATGTGTAACATTATCAAAATAGTCTTTTGATTAGGTTTTAGGGTTATATAAATTTTAGACTTGACTTATTAATAGAAAAATATATTTAGTAATTAACACAAATATAAAAACAAAAATTTATATATATATATATATATATATATATATATATATATATATATATATATATATATATATATATATGTATGTATGTATAAATAAATGCAAAATGGTTCTTCTGCTTTGTTTGCAAATAGTTAAAAATGATGGGATATAGATTATATATTATTAAAAACTATATTCTTTATATTATTAAACTTCTTTTTTTTTCTTTTTTTTTTTTACATTTCCAACAATTTTGGAAACGTATTTGCAGAAATTCAGTTGCAAACACAATGAGTTGATTTTCAATGAATTTGTTTGTCATTTAAACTTCTTGATTTTATTAAGTCAAAAAGAGATGGAAATAAAGATTTAAAAAATATTAAATTATGAGTTATCCAAACTTAATATTCAATATTTTTTTAGTTATCCATATTTAGGAATTCAAAACCTATCCAAATAAGGAACCCAAAATTGTAGGTGCTCTTTAGAAAAGATATTTTGACCAGAAATCCAAATTTTTAGATAATCTCTATACAGAAGAGTGAAAAGTGAACAGCCAGTTAACTCTTATCCAGAACAAAAAACAATTTTAATATCAAAATAAGAGGAATATTTTGATTTATTCTATTTTTAATATCTCATAATAACTATCATTCCTCAACCAATATAATTTAATGTAATACATTTTAATTGTTTTAATTAAAATGTATTACATTAATTATTAGAATAGAATTTATAAGATAGAATTTATAAAAATGAATCATTTTTTATACTAGGGTGTCATACTATAACCACTACATCCACCTCCACTCTAAGATACAGCATTATTATTAGCTTGTTGTTAGGAATAAAAATGACAACTTGATGAATATAGAAATTAACAATTTCATGAAAAAAAACATTACTCTTGTATAAGAAAAATAGGAGTTTTTAAGAAAAAAATTAAACTCTAAGAAAAAGGATAAGAAAAAGTTCTTATCAGCAAGTTTTAACCTAAATAAATTTTGACTGGATGGAGCATTAGCAATTATCATTTTATTTTAAAGGAACAACCAGAAAGTTAACTATGCTTTAAATATGATCCATTACTTAGTGTCATTGAAAAAGATAAGACTGTCACTTGGAAGTATAACTGAGAACATTCAGAATTTGAATATTTAATATAATTTGTTTTTATGATAATGGAAATAAACGATAATAGTTTAAATATATTCACTCTAATTTTGAGGACCTTTTTCTTTAACAGTAAAGATATTTAGTGTGAAAATACCTTGTGGTCGAATAATATAATAAATTCTCCCTCATAACAATTTTAAAAACTTGACAGTTGTGTTGAAAACCTATTTAATGATAAAGCATTCTAGTATTATATCAATTTAAGAACTTTATGATAAATACAAAATCTGAAATCTAAAAATATTTTTTTATGAGTCACTATAAAAAAATGTCTTCTAATTCCAGAAAATTCAATTTTTGTGTGAAAAAAGTAGTCTTAATGCCCTTTTTTACCCTATGTATTATTCTACCAATTTTAAAATTTCATATCACATACTTATAAAACTACCAACCGGTATAAAACATTTATTTTTAAATGCTATATTTTTTTAAACTTTAATTTTCTACCTTTACCTTGAAATTTGACCAACTAGTTGGAAAAAAAAAATGGGTAAAATTCTCTATTTAGCCATTTTTATATTAGGCAATACACAGCTAAACTTTATTGTTCATGTATATTAATTTAACTTTTGAATTTCTAACTATACTATTTAGAATATAAAAAGATAACTTTTATATAAGAGTTATAAACATGTATTGATTGGGTGTAAAAATTTATAGCAGAATGCTTGTTTAAAAATTCTCATAAATTTAAACCAGAAACAAAGTTTTTCATGAAAAGTTGAATTTAATAAACTATTTAGATTAAATTTACATTACCTTTGAGTTTCGTATGGCCCAGGATCCATTTTGTCATAAAAAGTTCCATCAGGACCCCATTCGCCATTTGGGTCCGCCATTTTTAAAAACTTTTGGTCATTAGTTACATCAACTTAAAAGTAATTTCACTTGAAAGTTAATAATATTATTTTAGGAGTAATTGTGGAGTTAAAATAGTATCTCCTTAAGCGCATATTTGTATGTTTGTTGGTTTAAAGAAATGACTAGTAGCTTAAAAAGAATCACTAACCACGTTGCTGATAATATCTATTCGCGTAAAATAAATAGAATCGAAGCACTTAACTAATAAAAAATAAGTAGTAGAGAGTGAGAAAAAACAGACAAATATGTTTATCTTAAAACAATGAAGCTAGTTTAAATAAGTTAATTGTTATAAGAAGAAAGTTTTTCAAATTAAATTGTACATTAAAAACACTTATTTGTATATATTTTTTATTATATTTAATTTTTCATTGTTCACTAATTCTTCCTTAATCGAGAAACTTTCGTTGGGTTTTAAGTGATAGGGCCGACGACACGGGTTTTTAAGTGGGGGGGGGGAGCACAATCGTCAAAGTTTTTTATATCTGAAATTTTCATAAAAAAAGGTCCTTTAGACCAAAAAAGGAGAGGCACGTACCCCCCGGCTCCCCCGTACTGTCGGCCCTGAGTGATTGGGAAGGAAGGAGTTGCTTTGGATCAGTGGCGTAGCCACGGTTTCAGGCGCCCAGGACAATACTAAAATTGGCGCCCCCCTGAAGCAGACATAAAAAAAACACTTAATGTCTCTTAGTATATCTCAATTTTATTTTAAAAATGCAAATGCTAATAATGCAAATTCAATTTAACTCATGTTTCCAATTACGTATCCATTATTGTTTATGTGAATTAGTCATTGAAAGTGACAGATGGTCAATCGGATCCAATAATCAATCACTATTTATAAATTATAATTTGTTCTTTTTAGCTTTAACTGCAGCAAATTTATTTATTATGTCGTCAAAGTCTATTGATTCTAGAGTTTATCTTTCGACACCAAGAATTACCAAATCAACAAGACAATGTTGCCCCATTTATGCTCGTAGATATGAAATAACAACCTTCAACTTGCTGAAGGAACGTTAGTAAATGGCTATTGACACTGCAATTGTGAGCAAGATTTGTAATGTAATGCGTAAGTTTACAAAAACGTCAACTCCGTAAGACGAAATAAATGAAAGTAAATCCAGCGGAGTTGATGATATTGGGCCCCCACGAGATTTAAACAGCATTTAACAGTCTGCGATTTCAGTAAATAGTTCTGCTTCACTGATATTTGTACTGTAAAAGTTTCCAAGAAACCAAATTTTTCATTGAGATTATTTAATCGTCTCGAGCGAGTTGTTAGTTCTTGTTGAAAACGATCCAATGTCATTTTCAAAACTCTGCTAGTTTCATCTTCAGCAGAGAGGCCACTATCTCTAGCCCACTCATCTGGCATTATTCGCCGTCGCCTGACTCTTCTCTCAACTTTAATTCACCATTCTATACATCTACCCTTGCTATACTCAATTGCATTTTGGCACAAATGAACACGAAATTCTTTGAGATTTTCCTACATTTCCATATTAGATGTTGCATCTTTAAAGTTCATTGTTGTGTGTGATCTTGTAGTCGTTTGACTGTTAGTCACGGAGCAGTTGTTGGCTCTGGATTTGAGTTGTGAATTCATTTATTTTTATTATTTTTTCCGCTTTTTCGCCCCCCCCCCCTTAAAGTAGCGCCTGAGGCAAATGTTCCACCTGCCCCCCCCTCCTTCCATTCCTACACCTCTGCTTCGGACTAAGTTTTCAGTAAAAATATTTACAACCAACATAAAATTAAAAATCCATTTTTTTTTTTTTTTTTTTTTTCTTAAAATCGTTTCATCAAAAAAGAAAAAATAACTTAATAAGTGTTTTATTTTTTATTTATAAATATAAAGAATGAAAAAAGCTTTTTATAACAGCGATTGTTAAAAAATTATATTATATTTTTAAAACGTTTTATTTTCATGACGTAAACCTAAAACTTCGAATGAAAAATTTTCTACTTTTTTCTCTGTTTATTTTTCTTTAACATTATGACAATTTTAAAATTTATACAATTTTATTTTTCAATTGCTACAAATATTAAAAATCCTCTTTTCCATTATTTGGTGATGCATTTAGTACATTCATTTTTTTTCTTCACTTTAAACGAGGCTGCTAACAACCACTATTAGAGTCGGAAGTTACTGGAAGAGAAAAAATGAATTTTATAAAGCAAGTTGCCGACGTTATTTACTAAGTTTCTGTTGCTGCTGTTTTTCTCTTTATATATGAAATGCTCCTTCTATTATTATTGTTATCATTATTATTATTATCATTAGTATTAATATTATCATTATAATTAGTATTGTGAACTGATGTTCAAGGAATAATATCAGACGAATAAGAATTTTGGGAGCACTTAGGAGGAGTCACAGTAAAAGGATGAGACATAATTGAATAACGAGTAACTCGAGTATGAATTTTAGTACAGGGCACAAATGAATTTTTCTATAAGTACTATAACGGGAGCTGCTCTTTTTAGAGCAGCTCCCATTATAGCACTTACAGAAAAAAGAAAGAGAAGCAGCATTACGACGATGTGACAATAGTTGAAGGTTAACTGCAAAAGCAGGTTCAACTCTGTTTACAATAAGTTTTTGCACCTTGTCTAAAAGAGAAAGAACATCATTTGAAGATCCACTCCAGATATGGCTACAGTATTCCATACAAGGACAGATTTGAGATTTATAAAGATAAAGAATAGAGTAAGAAAGTATCTAGTACGATAAAGAGATGCAACCTTAGGAGATGCTAATTTTGCAATCAATTTGTTATATGGTTTTCAAAAAAGATCAGAAGTAAGAGTTAATCCTAAAAGACAAAGGGTAGATGACTTATCGAGTACATAACCGTTTATAATTTTTTTTTATTTTATTTTATTTTTAGGTGCCCCAAGAAGATCTAACAGTTTTGTAACAGAGCACCGCGGAAGTGCATTTACCTAGGAAGGTTACGCCTCTTTCCAAACCGTGTCACGAAAGTATTTCCAGAGCTCGTTTCGAACTTGGATCTATAGGAAGATCTGGAAATATAGGAAGATCTAGATTATTGCAATAACTGTAAGCTGAAAATAACTTTGTTTTGTCTAAGTTAAAGTTCACTAGTCAGATCTATGCTGTAGCAGAAATGAAATCCTTATCAAACTCAAATGTTCCTACAAGTAATCAGAGACTATTGGTTTCTCATCAAGACAAAAATAAATGGTAGTATCATCAGCACACAATGCCACCTTAGATTTAAGAATTTCTAGGAGATTGTTAATGTAAATTTAAAAAAGTATAGGGCCGAGGACAGTTATATAGAGGAATCCCTCAAATTACAGAATATGAAGAAGTGTGCTGTTCATTGAGGACAACTTTTATACCGTGATTAGTAATAAAGAATTCAATAATCTTAAAGATATTACCTGATACACCGTAAGAAAAGAGCTTATTGAGAAGACCAGCATGTTAAACTTTATCAAAGATTTTAGAACTATTTAAAGCGATTGCCTTAACCTCTCCACATCTGTCTAATGCACAATAAAACCTTCGGTTATTATCGTTAATAAATCAGCTGTAAAACGAGAAGTTCGAATTTTATATTGATGATCAGAAACTAAGTTCTTAGGTTCAAGATGAGAGATTAAGAGTTTTTCAGTTAAAGATTGTTTATTTTCATTTAATGAATTGATTTGTTTATTTGTTAAAATTTGTTGTTAAAACTGTGCAAACTAAACAAGCTTAGAAGTTTTAATCTAGAAGTTTTCATTGGCATCACTTTAGAAAGTCTGGATTGAGATCTTTTTGCATTCATTTTGTCATAATAAACCCAGTTGTTAAACAATTTTGTCATAATAAACAAGTTGTTTAACTAGAATTTAATCAGTAAAGACTATTTAGTTGTTATTAATTCATTAAGTTGTTAAGAATTTTAATCAAAAGTAGTCGAAGGTGTATTCGTTATAAAATGTTTTTTAACAATTATTTTTCTAGTATCCGCTCAACAATATCATAACTTAGTATTTATTCTAACTGGTATATTAAGATAATAATTCCACTAATTAAAAACAAATTACCCTAATTTAGATGCATCTCCGTGGCATTTTTTTTGATGATCTTAAAAACAATCTGGAGTTTTTTTCAAACTTCTAATATTAACTAAAATGCATTCTTTATTTGTCTTTATGTAGTTATCTTTAATTCTTATCATACAGTAGAAACAAAATTATTTTCAATGTCATATTAGAACCAAGGATAATTTTAAAACCTCTGTGCTGACAGGAACGATTTCGTGTTGAGTTGGAGGCATCAGATACATCTGAACTGCTTTTTCTTTTAACCAAACAACTACTTACGTTCTGTGCATTATCTACGATATCACTATTTATATCTTTAGTATTTACCGTATGAATATTTAAAATATTGGTTAAAATTTTAAAATTTTTCCATTAACGGTATTTAAAACATCAATATTAACACTGTTACAAGCTTTCTACTTGTAATACGACTCAATTATTTTTAAAGACATAACTAAACGGGTAGGAGGTACTGTTATGTAAAGCCCCAACCGCCAATTTTTAAGTCCATGCACATTTTGCTTCTCAAACAATTAAAATAGCTTAAAATATAAAATGAATAGATTAAAAGGAGGATTTGATGAAACAAAAGTGTCTGTCGAACTTTAGATAAGCACATATATTCTCAATGGGCGAATGTTTTATAAAAAAAGTTTATTTTGAAAATTCAGAGAAATTACTTTTTAATAACATTAAATAATTAAATTTATTGAAAACTGTTTTCCAATTTTTGATCATGATCTTTTCAAGTAAATAAAGTAGGTACCTTAAAATGGAATGAATAGAAACAGTGAGATGAATAGGGACAGAAACCAGAATAGACACAAGGACAGCTGAATAACCAGTAAATCTTTTCTTCCTCTTAAGTATGCTCATATAATTGAAAATATTTGGATTTGGCTGCGACTTTACTTACTGCAGCAAATCATGTTAAAAAATAAGTTAAAAAATGTGAAAAAAAAAAAAGAATAAAAACCTTAATAATAATTTGTCGTTTTATGTTCAAGAAAGGTATTTTCAAGCTGTATGCCTATCGTGTATTCTATTTAGTGTTGAATGTTACCATTGCACTTTAGGTACCCACACATTTTTAAGAAACTTTAACAGTGTCCCTATTACATCCCTATCAGAGGTGGAATAAAGACAAACATCTGAAATAGTTAGTGTCTCTATTAACCACATGCAATATCAATAGGGACAGACAGAAAACAAACAAAAAATAAAGTTAGTTACAGGATCCAAAATTTTTAGGTCATTGAGATAGCTAACTTCTGGACATAGAGCAGACTCCAAATGTTTGTATGTTTATACTTATGTCAAATAGGATGATTTGCAAAAATTTTGATGATTGGAGCCTGGGAACAAAAAAGCCCCAAAATTTTTGCCTCTCTGCCCCAAACGTGAGAGCAACAAGTTGATAGAAAAAATTTTCTACTATTCTCAATTAGCCTTATATTCATCGATACGTTTTAAATTTCATAGTATTATCTCTCAGCGTTAAAAAATGATGTACATATAAAATTTGAAACCCTCTTAAATTGAGGGGGGGGGGGGTTCAATCTCTAAATGGTTATATTTTTTGAACGTTGAAAAATTTTACTATGAAAGTTAAAATTTATTGATAAATATAAGTTTGAATAAAAATATTACAAAAAAAATTATATCAACTTGTTGCTCTTATGTTTGGGACTGGGGAAGGGGCCAAGTATTTTGGGTCTTTTTTGTTACCAGGCAAAGCATTTTTGTTTGACATAAGTATAACATAAATGTTTAGGGATCGCTCCATGTTTGGAAGTTAGCCATCTTAAAGACCAAAAAATGCTGAGTTCACTCCTGGTTAGTCATTAATTTTATTTATCAAAAAATGTAATTTTAGATTAAAAATCATCGGTGCAGTATATGGCTATACTTAAAACTAAAAAATGCAAGTATTAAATTATTCAAAACTGTATTTTTACTAGAAAAACTATATAACCCTATTCATAATATCTATTCTTATTGATCATATAATTCAGAAAACAAATACTATAAAACGGGGTGAGTAGAGGGTTCACCCCGTTTTACAGAATTTGTTTTTCGAATTAAATAATCAAATAAACTAAAAAATAAATCCGCGATGAAAAAGTTGACTTTTTTAAAGTGGGTTGATATTTGTGATCCATCGATTGCATGTACATATGAATGCGATAGATTGTGAAAGGAGGGGTCCAAAACTGAAAAAAATAGGTTATGAATACTGTTATTTTTTTATTTTTGTTTTTCGATTTCAAAATGAGTTATTGCTTTATCATTATTTTTTTATTTAGGTTTCTGAATAAATTTTTTGAAGCAAACAAATATTTTCTATATTAGATTCTGAATAAAAACCGTGAATAAAAACCGTGAAAAATGGGTGAAATATAATTTTATTAACCTATTTTTTGGAAACTAAGTTTAACGACGTGATATTATATAATTATAGTATTCTAATAGTGAAAGTGGTGTAGTGGAGTATTTGTATAAATAATACCTTGATAAAAAAAAATTAAACGAAGATTTGCGTAACAGTGTCTTTGAGGCTATTTGCTTAAATCAAATTAAATGAACGCTCATATCTTTAATTTGGAAAAATCATTAAAATTCTTACGACGCATACACATACTACAGAAATCATAAGATCCGAGTATATATTTTTTGGAATACATTCAAATAAAGTTTGATTTTGTTTATTTTCTAAATTAATATAAAATTAATTATTTAATTTTATTTAAAAAAAAAACATAAAGTTTATTTATTTGTAAATTTTTTTTTTAACTTTTTGTTTTTTTAACATAATTTGTTTCATACATTCCCCCGTTTAAAATAAAAAATTCTGTTATTTGTATCGAATATAGTTAGACCCACCTGGTTTTGATTAAGTCGTTTCAAATGTCAATTTTTCCAAAGTTTTTTGTAAATCATTAAGTAGCAAGTGTTTATACCGTTATCGCTACGAGTCATGTCTGCCAAGCAACTTGCCTGTGAAGGAACTGAGGAATTATTTGCACTCATCGGTGAAAATAGTCATGCATCTAGAATATTTGTGTTATTCACAGGACAAGAGGATCCAGCAACTGGAAAGAGTTGGTGTCCAGATTGTGTGCGAGGTAAGTTTAGTTTAGTATAACGCTATTATATGAAATATTTTTTGTATTCATGGTATACTATGATTTAATTTATACTTTATCTAAAGTCCATTAAAAAATTAGATATTTTTTTTTACAAAATTTTATCCTAGACCACAAAGAGTGTCCACCTTAATCCCCAAAATATAATTTTTTTTTTTTTTTAAATTTAGATAGAAAAAATAAACATTTTAAAAGTTATAAAAATTATATTTCATACCACAAATAGAAATGAAAGGTACATTTTGAAAATTAAGGAGGATGTGGTAGTAATGGTTTAATCCACCCTAGCATCAAAAGTGTTTCATTTTTAATAAATATAAATAAAATTGATATTTATTAAAACTGAATTTTGTATACAACTTATGTACATACAATCAAATTTGTATTTAAAAGAATTTACATGTAGTAGTGGTGTATACATAACCTTAATGGTGTATATAACAAATAGTAATATATATATTATTAAATAATTTTTTTTATTGAGAATAAAAAGATTTATTAAATGGTGCAATGTATGTGTGTGCTACAAATTCTGATATGATGCGTTAACTATATACATCATTAAAAAATATTAAATCAGTTATTAAGTTTCAGTTACTGTAAAATGCCTAATAATTTATATTTTTTTCTTTGCAGCTGATCCTGTTATAGAAAAATGCATTACAAAAATGAATCAAGATGATGTGTTTATTTACTGTGTAGTTGGAGACAGACCGACGTATGTAAAATATTTGTTTATTTTTTATAAAAATTAGTCTAATAAATGATCTATAATTTATATATAAAATATATATACAAGAATATTGTTTTTATTCTCTCTGTTGATGCTATGACTTAATTTTCACTTTATTCTTGTTATGCTATTTATATATCGCCTATACCTCTTTCTTATGAATAGGCTAGCAACTACTTTTTTAATTAAACTTTTTCTTAATCTTTACATTTATCTTTTATTTAAATACAATGTATTGATAATGTATACATAAAACTTTTTGTATACTTCATTATCAATACAAATGTATTTATAAATATAGAATCTTCGAAATAGGAAAAACGAGAATTAAAACTGTTAGAGGTCAGCAAAAAAAATTTGACACAAAGAGGTCAACATAAAACATAGAAATAAGGTCAGTGATTTTTTGGTGACCTCAAACATTGTCAGCATTGTTAAATGTCAACCCTGATTCCAAGGGCTATATATATATATATATATATATATATATATATATATATATATATATATATATATATATATATATATATATATATATATATATATATATATATATATATATATATATATATATATATATATATATATATATATGTATATATATATATGTATATATATATATATATATATATATATATATATATATATATATATATATATATATATATATATACACTTACTAAAGCCTTTTTTTATAAGCATTTGCTCACTTTTTTTGCTTACCTTAATCCATACGGCTTTTTTAGAAAAAGAAGAAAAAAAACAAAGAATGATGAATGAAACGATTGCTGCCCCATCCCAAACCCTCAGTCGATGTAGCAGCACTCCACTGTGAGTCAGGCTATTTATCAGTTGATGTATGTACTGAAGCCCCCAGCAGCAGGCTATTTTAGTATGACGTCAGATTGCTTACCTTAGTATGCAATACTATAATAATAATAATATATATATATATATATATATATATATATATATATATATATATATATATATATATATATATATATATATATATATTATATATATATATATATATATATATATATATATATATATATATATATATATATATATATATATATATATATATATATATATATATATATGAATAAGTAGTTCAAGTAAAAAAAGTAATAAAATTTAAACAACTGGAGATTCAAATGTTTAAATGGGAGATTAGTGTATCTATGGCCCTATCTGTTGTAAATTGGTTATTTGTACATAAGATGCAAATTGCTTAAATATTATAAATATAATAACATAAATCAAATAGTATTTAGAACATTTCAATATAAGTTAAGTTACTAAACAGATTGGTTGTACCAATACCTATTTTTCGTGTAATTTCTTGTAATTTCACATAAATCTTCTTTGGTAGTTTATTGTTTAATAATATTTTTTTATGGTATGAAGTAAAATAGCCTTTAGATATAATATTTTCAAATGCATATGTGATGCAGAAAGTTATAAAAGAAAAGAAACGGCAAACAAAGTTTGGTTTTGAAAAATATGTTTTAAATACTATAAAACCTTTAAAAAACATTATCGAAAACTCAAGATGTCGAAGTAACTGTAGATGCAGAGTCAATAGAAGAAGAACTAATAGCAGTAGTGACAGGATCAAAAAAAGATAAAAAATACTGTCAAACCGAAGTTGAAATAGTTTCTTATTAAAATACAGCAGTAGCAGTAGGTGCAGGCCTAGCAAAAGATGTATCCTTAACAGTAAAACAGTAGAAGTTCTAAAAGAAGTTAATGAGATAATAGTTTTTGTATAGAAAGAAGTAATAGTGTGATTTGTATCTACCTCTCCTAGATTCAGTGACTTCAAAGATTACTTCAGTGATATAAAAGATATCACTGAAGTAAATTGTCAAAAGTAGTAAATCATCAGTAATGTTATATTGTTATGTAACGTTACTGCAATTATGGCATACCTCTTTGTAATCTAATTTGAAACTAATATAAATGCATAAATAACATTTAAATTGCTTTAAATAATGCAAATACAAACATTTTTAGAACAAGTCTGCCATCACTCTTTTATGCTAACTGATATAGAAATATTATCTAATAGTATATCATATTAGAGGGACCCCAACTGCCTAGACAAGTTGTGTTCACGTTAAAGAAAATGTTTAAAAAAAAAATAGGGGCTAAATTTTTTTGACTAAAACTATATAATGAATGCACTCCATTAAATTTAAAATTTATGTTTTAGCCGAAGCTAGTCGTCTCCATTTTTTTTTTGGTTCTTAGAGTCTGTATAATGTTAGCCGCAATCTGCAGACTTGTTAATTTATTTCATTAAAAAATATAATTAAAAATTTATACGTCATCGTATAAATTTTTTCTTTCAAGATGTTGTATTATTTTTTTTGCCAAAATCACTAAATCATGTTAATTGTATAACTTTTTACTAAATTCCAAAAAAAGTTTATGATGCAATTAAAAATTAAATTTATAAAAATAAAAATTTAATATATAACAAATATTTACAGTAAATGTCGTGGTTTAAACTAAATATTTAAACTAGATACTAAAAGATTAATTTTACAAAAGCGTATAAATTAATTTAAAGTATAAACTGAAAAAAAAGTGAGTGACTTTAATAAAACATATAAACTGAACTAAGTAGAAAATAAATATTAAACGACTCATTTTACTAATAACCGTTCAAATCAAACTAAATTAAAGTTAAAACAAATATTTGTACTAAAATATACGAGAAATAGTTATAATATATAATTTTAAAAATAAAGAAACGCATTAAATTGTTTGCTACCATCCGAACAAAAATCTTTTTGTAGCAACCGCACATTTTTTTGAATAACATTTGAATAGCATAACATTGACAATTATTTAAAATTCTATAATAATAAAATTTTTAACAAGCATCATTAAACAATAAGAAATGCAAAGTGCTTAAAACTATTGTTTTTGTAAGTAGTAGCTAAAACACTAAGTTTAAAACAAACCTTATTTAATGAATAAAAATAATATTTTTTCTTCAAAATACTTTGGTAATTACTTAACTAAATACTTAACACTTCTACAAGTTAAGTTTTACAGTGTTAACGCTGTTTTATTTTATAACTAAATTTAAAGTTTTTTTTATGAAGGATTATTCAAGATTTTATAACTTTGTGATAACTTTTTTATAGTTACACAATATATCTCCTTTTTTTCTTGATTATGTAGAGAATTAATTAAACCTTCAGAACAAACAAATTCTATGTGTCTAGAATGGAAATTTATATACAAAACAAGATAAATTGTAAAGCATACTCGAAAGCCGCTACCACTGGCTTGCGGTAGTGAAAGAGTTAAACCATAACTAAATGTAAATTAACTATAAAACGAACAACTCTATTGAACCATATGAACTAAATATAAAACAAAATAACCACATTATACTGCCTTTATTTTTTCTCTGCCTGCTAACTCTAATATTCGCAAAAAATGTATAATTGTGTCATGATTTTGGCTGGCTTCTACCACAAAGTAATAATAAAACAAGTAAAAAAAAATTATAAATATGAAAATATATATATATGTACAATTTTTTACTAAATCATAAATATTTTTTGTGATTAAGTAAAAAATTACTTAAGTATTTGATTTTCTGATTGTAGTAGAAAAAATACTTATATCTTTAAAAAAACAACAACAAAAAAACGCTACCTTAAAAAGATATTGCAATGGCGTCATATACCGAAACTGTTATGAATTAACACGCATTGAATAAATTATCAAGTCTGCAGATTGTGGCTAACATTATACAGACCCAACCAAGAGAGCCACAAAAAAAATGAAGAAGGCAAGTTTTTTTATTTTTTTGTTGGTATGCATTTATTATTTAGTTTCAATCAAAAAAATTTAGCCCAAATGTTTTTTTTAAACATTTTTTTAAATATGAACACAACTTATCTCGGCAGTTGGGGATCCCTTTAATTATTAAGTTCTTGAAAGATATTTTTAAGCTTAAAAGCAACTATAAATAAGCTATAAAACAAAGAAACATAATAGAAAAATACAAGTTAATTTTTAAAAAATCTTCTTTCGTAAACAGGAGTTTAATACAATGTTTTAATGACTTCTATAAAACAAGTTCTTTATATATAAAAAAGATATCGTAGAATTAATGGGTTTACAGTTATGTGCGTAGTTTTTATTATTATTATTATTATTATTATTATTATTAGTTTAATTACAAAATGTTTTTATTTACATATAATGAAAACATATAACTTAAAAATATATAAAAAAACAAAGTTGTTTAATATTTTTCTAAGTTGTTTATAAAAAAAAAAATGTAGGGGGAGGGGTTTAAGCTTATTTGGACCTTGGCAAATTCTTTATCAATCTGAGGCTAAATAGAATTGATTGGATGATTTGTTTGGTGATACAGTAACAATAACTTTGTTTTTTTTTATTTATTACTTCAAAGCAGGGTTGAAAAAAAGCTGTTTTAAAAATTAAAAAAAAACATGGGTTTTTTTAAAAAAACTCAAAAAAACCATGGTTTGTTTGGTTTAAACTCCTTTTTTTTTAAAAAAAAATTTACTAAAATATTTTAAAGAATTCCACCATTCTATTGGTGATACATTTTTTAAAACAGATTCACTATGCAAATAGCTTTTACCAAATGGAGCAGATTCATTACATCTCAATTGGTTACAATTGGTAACAAGGTTACATACTCTTTTTTTTAATTAAATAATAATTAAATAAACTTCATATCACAGTAAATGTTTGTTTATCATTGCCGTATTGCTAATTACCATATTTACTTAATTTTTTAATGTAAAATAGCTTTGTCTCAACTAGTTACTTTGTCACGAAAAAAAAAATAAAGTTTCAATTCGCAACATTACGTCTCAATTGTTTTTTTTTTACTATTAAAAGTGTAACTAAATGAGACTTAATGTAACCTGGAAAAAGGCACAACTAAAAAATGTCTCAAAAACAGATTTTTTTTTTGCGTTACATTATGTCTTAACTAGTGACACTATTAAAAGTTTCAAAAAAATGTAATGTGATGTAAAAAAAATCTATACTTGTGATGTATTTTAATTATATTTTAAATTTAAGACACCAATTTGCAATGTTACATCTCATTTGGCTTTTTATTTTATCTTTTAAATGTGTAACCAATTGAGAGGTAATGTAACATAAGAAAAAGCGCAATTAAATTAAGTCATAAATGCAGAATTTTTCAAATACTATTTAATTCCAGCGTAGTTTGTGGTCAAATGCGCCTTAAACAGCTGTTTTTTTCAAAATTTCAATGTCGACAATTTTTATAGCTGTATTCACTAAACATTGATTTTTCGGTGACTGAAATAAGAAGAAAATCTCAATTAAAAGAGTTTTAATATTCAATATTATGGCTTGTTTTATGTTGTTATGTTGTTTTATCGCAAATTCTTAAAGTTTTTAAAGAGCAATCACATATCAAAATTTTAGAAATATTATGTATGATTATATTTATATTATACGTATTTTATATTTATTACATTGTCTGATATATATGATAGTATATATGTTTTTGTTTCTTTAGATGGAAAGACCCACTAAGTCCTTTTCGAACAGATCCTAAACTGTTGCTTAAAGCAATTCCAACACTTGTTAAATGGAATACTGTAAGTATAGCAAAAGTTTTTTTAAAAAAAATAAAATGTTTTTTCATCACACTTATTCATACCTGTACTTCCAAATTTTTTAGCATTTCAACATTAAAATGTTTTATTTAAACACTAAAATCATTTTAAAGTATAGCAACATTCTATTGCAATACAATTTAAGAGTGAAATAAAAACAAATTATTCTAATTTAGTTTCTAATAATAAGCTCTTTTGCAGATCCCGGCTTGTCCCTTTACTGCTGGTTTAAGGTCATTTGGTACTGAGAAAAAATCTTTAGTGTTATGATGCTTGAATTGAACATTAATGTTTTACAAATTAGACATGTTTTTATGAATAATTGTTGTTTCTCCGATTTTTTTTCCTTGTCAATAAAAATCAGCTTTAATATAATATTCATTCCATTAAGAACATTACAGACTTCTATACTTCTATAAGTGACTAGAAATTGAATACAACTTTTTTTTTTTGGTTTAATAGTAGCGTTTAGCTTATATTATCAAAGGTTTTATTTATAAAGAGTTGAATTTCAATTTATACACTATAACTTGTTCAATACCCCGTTTGATGTATAGTAGTATGGAATCAGGAACCATCAAGTTTATTGTAAAATTAGTCATAGCCAATAATTAAACATGTTTAAGCAAAGTTTTATGTAATACACATTGTCAAATAGACTCTTAAATAGACAGCAAAAGCCCATATTTTTCTTTTAAACATGATTTGAAAGATATGTTTGATCAAAATAGTTGCAGCCAGCTCTTACCCAATAACAAAACAAAAAAGATAATAAAAAATAAAAAGAAGTTGATTTTTAAATTAACATATTTGGAATATTTTTACATATAAGCTCTATTATGAGATTTATTGTGTGTTTGTTGTAATAGTTGCAATTTTATTCATTAGTTAAAGTGTTTCTTGGCATAACTAAGAGTTATAGCAATATACATGTTTGAACTATAGGTTAGCCTAAAATGTTTTTTTTGTTCGTTTATATATTAAACTAAGATGGCAAAAATTCCAAAAGTTTTGTATTCATCAGCCCTCAAAATTAGGAAAAATTAGTTTGACAATAAATTGCTGACCTAAAATTGTTAGAGGTAGGCATCAGGTTGGCAAAAAAAAATTAGACAAAAGGTTAACCATGAAACATAGAAACAAGGTCGGAGAATTTTTGCCGCCCTCAAACACTTTAAGGTCAGCAGAATATTGACCCTAATTCCGAGAGCTCATTTAAATATGGCACATATAATTTTTAGATAAAATACATATAAATGTTTGTACAATATTAAGTATTTTATTAATTTTTATTTTAAAATTTTAGTCTTCCACATATGTAGCACTAGGGCGTGTTAGTGCAGCATGGTGATTTTTTTTTTTTAATAAAAAAAGTTCCTGTGTATAAAGATACTCAAATGGTAAATGTTCAATCAATCGGTTTTAAGTTAAGCAACAAAAATCAATCAAAGAAATAAACATTCAAGAAACTAAAAAGTTCCAACTTAATGTTTATCTGAAAGAAAAAGCTTGAAAATGCTGAATTTGTTAACTTGATATTTTCAGTATTGTAAATAAAGAAGTCTTAATAAAGAAATCCACAGAACAGTTAAATCCACAGAGCAGTTCCATCTGTTAGCAGTTACAAATGTTGTTATAGTCAAAATTAAAGAAAAGGGAGAATGTGAAAATAATGTAATAATTTTTGGCAATTATGCATCAAAAGTATTAGATAAATCAAGGCTGATGAAGGACTAGTTTTATTTAAGGCAACTAAGCCTGCCGTAATTAACGTTAAGAAGAAAATAGCAACTCTGCTAACTTTTTATGCAATCCTTGTGATAGATTGAGAAATATTTTGGACAAGCAATATAGTCAGCTTACTAAATAAACAACGAAGTTAGTCAACTGAGTAAGCTAACTTTGCTAAGCTTGTTTGTCCAATTGATTGCTCAATCTATTGAAAGGATTGCATAAAAAGTACCACTCTGTTTCTCGATTTGTTATTGCTGGTTAAAAAAAGTCATAATCTCAATCATAATAGTCATAATCTTAATCATAATAGTCATAATCTCAATCATAAGTCACAATCTCCTTTAAGTGAGTCTGGTTCAGACTCACTTGAATTGAGGTGTATAAAATCTGACTTGGTAATATGTTTCAAAACTTTTCACAATCTCCTTTAAAATTTCTATAATTAGTATTAAAGTTCTATGTTCTTTGTGATTGACAACATTTATAAAATACATAAACAACATTGTCTCTTAGAATCTCTTTATACACAAAAATTTAAGTAAAACTTCCAATTTAAAAAGAAACTGTTTATTCTGAAAAAAATATTTTACTAATTTGATTATATTTAGTTTTTTGTCATATTTTGTGTGGTAGAGCATTTTAATTTATGTAGGGGCACGTTGTTAGTGTACATCTTTGTATGGACCTACGTATTTTTTAGAACGTATATTTGTTGTTCTAATTATATTAAAACTAATGGTTTTTTCTTACTAGATTGTACATATTGTTTACATATATTTTTGTTATATTAAAACTATGGGTATATTTCTAGCATGAGCGGCTTGTCGAAGATCAATGCGCAAATGAAGAACTAGTTTCAATGCTTTTTGAAGATAACTAAAGATTGTGTAGAAGACAGAGTTTAAAAACTAATTTTGTAAAAAAAAATTTCTATTGATATGTATAACATGATTTTTTTAGAATAACTTATTTGTGCTTTTTTATATCTGATTTTTTGAATAAAATTGTTTTCCTTTTACAAAAAACAATTTTAAAAAATATACAAGATACTTAGTATATTTTTTAAAATATCACCCCTGTGAAATTAGGGTCGGCATTTGGCAATGCCGAATTAAAAGTGTTTGAGATCGGCAAAAAATCGCCGACCTCTTTTGGTAACCTTTTAGTGTCAAAACACTTTTTTGCCGAACTAATGCCGACGTCTAACAGTTTGTGGACGGCAATTTATTGCCGACCTCAAACTGTTACACAAACATCACACTCATTTTTTCTAATACCTAGGGTTGCTATATATTATCTAATGTAAATTACATACATGTTTTCACATGAGATTTTAAACTTTAAATTTTTTTTTGTGTAAAATGTACACATATTTATTGCAAAGTTAAAAAAGTTTATTAACAGTTTTAAAAACTTATTTCCTTGTTGTCAATGTCTATATCTTTTTGAAGCTGCAAATGGTGAATTCTCTTAATTAACATTCTACTATGCTTAGATCATAAATTGCCTAAGTATGCAGTTTACCTACATTAATTTAAAAAAATTACAAACGCAAGGAAATTTTTATTTGCTTTATTTTTCATTTGTTTTTATTATTATTATTTTTCTGTTGCTTTATCCGATTAACTTTTTAATTACTGTCCTATAGGCGCAGCAAATTTAAGTCTCTATTTTGCCGTAAACTCCACGGAGTGTGGATAATATGAGCAATGAGTTTACATACATCATAGTTTTGGTGTGGGCAGACAACCGATTAATTTAACCCTTTCGTGACTGAGCTAAAAACATGAATCATGATTAAATAAAAGATTATAAAATAAAAACTACTAGTCAGAATTTTAAAAACAAGACCTTGTTTTTTTGTTTAAGAATTGACTTTCAGAATGTCCAAAAACCTAAAAAAAAAAAATCTATTTTAGTTACGTGATTAAATAACATGTTAAAATTAACAAAAATATATAGTTTCTTTACGTAAACTTAAACAAATAAAAAAAAAAAAATAGATGAACATTTTTTTTGATATTAAGTTAATGAAGCCTTTATAGTGCTGATCAAACAAAAAAAATATCAGCCACCATCTTTGAAAAAAATATAAATGATTTCATTTATATCAATATAACATAATCTGTTCTTCGTCATTTTTTAAAATTAAGAAACGGTTTAAAAGAAATTATTCACAATTCAAAGATAATTTTAAAGTTTTTCCCAATTGCTATAGATGTTTTGAAATATTTAAAATTGTTTATGCACCGCCAGGCGGGTCACTTGTCATTTAGATTTTATAAACCGCCATACTGGTCACGCGTCACGAAGGTGATAATTATAGGAACGGTTGAACTCATGTAATTCGAACTCCTATAAATCGAAAAGTCATTTTAATCGAACATTTGTTTTGGTCCCGTTAGATATGTCGTTTTGGTCCCGTTAAATATGTTGTTTTGGTCCCGTTAAGAATCGAACTCATGATTTGAAAACTCTTGTAATATGAACATATTTCACTTTTTTTTTTTTTAATTTAATTTTGCCGTAGAAAGTTACAATTTATAAAATAACATAAATAATAAAACAAATGGCTGGAGCAAGAAGAAGACATCAGTTTGTCTTATCACCGAGCCCCATAGTGACTTTATTACAGGTCGTTTTTTACAACAAAATATATAAAATCGTGATAAATTGTTTGTGATAAAATATGTAAAAATTTGAAAAACTACGTTTTACAATTGATATAACTGTTTATATATAAATTCGTTTAGTAAAATTTAGAACAAGTAAAAGTTAAAACAAATAAAAGAAATAAATTGTGCTAGTTTATTTTTTTACTAAAAAAGAAAAAGAAAATTTAAGTCCGTAGATAATAAAAAACGCTTTGATTCAGATTTGAACTGTTCAAAAGTATTTCTTTTGATAGTAACAATCTGGGGAAAAATTTTCCACAAATAAGGTCCGCGGTGTTGGATTGAGTATGAATTTAACTTTAATGTAAATTTTGGGATGACAAAGTTGTTATATAAGAATCTAGTAGGGTATTTATGACTTATTTCGCTAAAATAGGGTTGAAATATCGGCGGAGATAGTCCATTTTTTATTTTGTACATAAACTGTAAAACAAGATGTATGTTAATTTTGTATATATTCAATGCTCCAAGTTTGCATAAGAGAGGTTCACTAGACGCTTTTTTACTTACTCCGAAGAAAATTCTACAGACATGTTTTTGTTTACTGTAGAGTTTTTTAAGCTTAGTACAGTTTGTGCTTGCCCAGGCCATGTTACCATAGCTTAGATGACTATGTATTAATGAAAAGTATAAACTTCTTCAGGAAATGATATTTAGGAAAGGTTTTGCTTTATACATTAATGAAATATTTCTTGAGAGCTTTCTCTCTAAAGTGTTTATATGGAGCTTCCACGACAAATTTTCATCCAAGACCACACCTAGAAAGTCTATAAAATTTTCTCTTTTTATATTAGTATTATTTATTTTAAGATCAGGTAGTTTAAGAGGAATATTTTCGTTTTTATTTGGTTTATGAAATAGGATGAACTTAGTTTTTTTGACATTCAAAGAGAGTTTGTTACACCTAAACCACTCGTTTATTTTATGTAATTCTTTGTTAACTATGTTAAAAAGTGTCCTAATGTCTCTATGCGAATAAAACAAATTGGAGTCATCCGCAAACAAGATTAAATTTAATAAGTTTGATGTTGAATATAAATCATTTATATAGAGTAAAAATAATAATGGTCCCAAGATCGAGCCTTGGGGAACCCCGCAAGTTATGGCGCTATTTCTTGTTTTTGTTGTTTCATGCTGAATATATTGCTTTCGGTTTGATAAATAATCTTTAAACCAAAGTAAGTTATTATTTTTTACTCCATACACTTCGAGTTTTTTTAGAAGAATGTCGTGATTAACGGTATCAAAAGCTTTAGAAAGATCAATAAAAACTCCTAGCGTAAAGCAATCATTACTAAAAGCATTAGATATTTGATTAACTAGCTCAATTATAGCATGGTCGGTTGAGTGGTTTTTTTTAAATCCAAATTGTTTACCGGATAAAAAATTGTTTTCCGTCAAATAATTGTAAAGTCTATTATACATGACGCGTTCTAGTAATTTGGAAAAACATGGTAAAACTGATATAGGCCTATAATTATTAGTATTAAAATCATCTCCAGATTTAAAAATAGGGGTGACTCGAGCAATTTTTAGTTTATCCGGGACAATGCCTGATTTTAGCGAAAGATCGAAGATGTGGTGCAATGATGGTTCAATGATATAAAATACTGATTTTACGACAAAGCTACTGATATTATCAAAGCCCGCACTTTTGTTGTTTTTTAGATTGTTTAAAGCGTTTCATTGATTTGTCAGTTGAGGTTTGAAGCTTAACACCATCTACATTAATCACAAGTGTTACAAGATTTTCTCCACCTATTAACTTCTTTTTTTAATTCTGAGATCCTTCAGGAATAGCTTTAGGCCCAGTATTATTTCTATTTTCTATATTGTCTTGATTTCCAAAATAATGGTATCATTTGTTTGGTTTGGAATTTGAACATTTCGCAGGTTCTGAGCATAAAAGTAACTAAAATAAAGGCAAAAATTGAGATTAGTGTACAACTTCATGTAATCTTTGGGGTAGTACCTGAATATGGGTAAATTATCCCAAAAATTTTCCTCATGGAGGACGTAGATTAGGATTTATATGTTTTAAATTTAATCTCTGATGAATATCCGGGTTGTATATAATGAATCCGGGTTGCTTAAGTTTGGCATAAACTTGAAGACATTATTTCATAAAAAGAGCAATTATTTAATAACTAAAATAGTGTAAAAAATAAAAAAAATTCAGATTTTCATCGATGCAAAACATCTCAACTTTCAAACCGCGTTTTCTCTGTTTTGAAAAACTGACAGTTACAATTTTTTTTTTTGCGATTCGATCTTGTTAATTTAGGCTGTATCAAATTATTATTAGAACCAATAATCTTCAACAAAGCTAAAAAGTCTTTGATACATTATACTGTATAAAATACATTTATTTTATGGTATATACAGTGTAAATACCATAAAGAAAAGTTTATCTTGTAATAAAACGTGTTATAAGTCTAGATACGAATTTAAGACAGCGTCGAAAACGTTTTGATCATTGGGAAAAGTTTAACTTATCAGTATCCGCATGCTGACTTTATAAGTCTCGATGTTAAAATTAAATGTAGAATCATCAACTATAATATAAAAATATAAAACTTTACATTAACATGAGAAGCATATAACCAGAAAGTTCACGCCTCCTTTCTTACCGATGTTGCTTATAATGCTAGAGCCGACATCAAACCACGATTCTCTTGGTTCACAGCTACTGGTTATTGTTTTTATTGGCAAATACATACACTAAAAAAAAAATACCGAATATTTCAAATCCTGGATTATGTTACTATTGAACATTATGTCAGGTAGTCTAGAGTTTGCTCAATTTATATATAACCGCATTAAAATGATGTTAGCGTATACACGTTTTAAAATTTTATTGAACAAATACAGTTTAACAAACTTACATCATCTCGTGCTATATTCGCATTAAAAATAAATAGGAAATAACTTAATCTGTTAGCGAAAATATTTAATTAGAGTTTGTTTTAATCTATGAAAAATAAATGTTTCACTCAATGTATATTACATTTATTGCTAATATCATTTTATATAGGGTTGCCAAACGTCCGGCTTTTACGGAGGAAAATACAGCGCCAAACCTGTAAAAATATATTTTTTGACTGTGTTCTCCTCCGTAAAAGCCGGACGTCTGGCAACCCTAATATTATATCAAGTTATATATAAAATCTAGTTTATAAAAAAACTAAAGATATTTACTATAAAAAATGTTATTATGTATGTTTTCTTTCATTCATTAGTGTAAATAGTTGTCTAGCAAAAAATCATTTTAGCTTTACATCAGATCATCC